CTGGGCACTGTCCCTCAGCTTTTCAGCTCAAGGCGACCACTCTACCACTTGAGTTACAGTGCCACTTCTGTTTGTTGAGTGTTTTATTAGTGACAAGAGTCTCACAGAGTTTCCTGCCTGGGCTGGCTTTGAACCGCGATCCTCAGATCTCAGCCTCCTGAATAGCTAGGATTATAGGCGTGAGCCACCAGCGCCTCATTCCCAAGAGTTTTTATTTATTTATTTATTTGGTCCAGTCGTGGGCCTGAACTCTGGGCCTGGACGCTGTTCCTCAGCTCTTCAGCTCAAGGCTAGCGCTCTACCACTTGAGCCACAGCGCCACTTCCTGCTTTTTTCTTTTTGCTTATGTGGTGCTGAGGAATCGAACCCAGGGCCTCAAGCATGCAAGGCAAATGCTCTACCACTGAGCCACCTTCCCAGCCCCCAAGAGTTTTTAATATGAAACTTTTATATAAAAATTTGTTGCCAGGGCTGGGAAGGTGGCTCAGTGGTAGGGTGCTTGCCTCTCATGCATGAGAGCCTGGGTTTGATTCCTCAGCACCACATAAACAGAAAAAGCCAGAAGTGGTGCTATGGCACAAAAACAAACCAGGAAAAAAAAAACCCGACAAAAACAAACAAATGAACAAACAGAGAACTATGGCTGAGTTCAGTGGCTCACACCTATCAGCCTAGCTATTGAGGAGGCTGGGATTTGAGGATTATGGTTGAAAGCTAGCCTGGGCAGGAAAGCCTGAGATTTTTTTTTTTTTTTTTGGGGGTCCGGTTGTGGGGCCTGAACTCTGGGCCTGAGTGCTGTCCCTCAGCTCTTCAGCTCAAAGCTAGCGCTCTACCACTTGAGCCACAGTGCCACTTCCGGCTTTTTTGTTTTTTGCTTATGTGGTGCTGAGGAATTGAACCTAGGGCCTCAGGCATGCAAGGCAAGCGCTCTACCACTGAGCCAACTTCCCAGCCCCAGCCTGAGATTCTTATCTCCAATTAACTACCCCCTCCCCCAAAAGCCTATTTTTTAAAAAAAGCCAGAAGTGGGGTTGTGACTGAAGGGGCAGAGCACTGGTCTTGAACACAAAAGCTCAGTAGCAGCATCCAGGCCCTAAGTTCAAGCTTCAGGACCAGCACAAAAAAAAAACCAGGAAAAATACAGCAAAAAGGGCCACCAGCATTTTGGAGGTGGATCTGGGGCCTGAGTGCAGTCTGACTTAGTGTCCTCTGAGATCCTGACTTTGAGGTTTGCCTTGAGCCTAGGATGTGGCCAAAGGGAGGTGTAGATTCTCCCCCTGGAGAAAGCTGACCCCCATCCCACATCCCCAGCCAGCCTCAGGCTTGGCCTTAGTGCCGGGAGGCAAGGCCTGGACCCTGTGTAGACTTAGAGGTAGATCACAGGGTTTGCCTGGTGCTGCCGTCAGGTCATTCTTCAAGCTTTCCCACCGTCCCACTTGGCTTCAGGGGAGTGTATCACACTTCCTGCCCTGCTGAGTCTTACGTCTTTCTTCCTGCTTCTGCCAGCTAATGGTCTTTAATATCACTGCCACCATTCTCTACATCACTGCCTTCATCACCTGTTCTGCTGAAGTTGATGTGAAGTTCCTGAAGGGCACCCGGTCCTATAACCTGCGTGCTGCTGCCTCTGTGAGTACGAACCCCCCCCCCCCCCCCAATCTCTGCCCGTTTGAGGCCAGGCACTGGCCATCTCCTGGCACTACCTGAATGCTCAGGGGGTCTCCACAGGGAGCTAAGCTCAGGTGGTGATGGAGTTTAGTGAGTAAATCTGGAGTGGCTTGTGGTGTCCAATGGAAGTTATGGGTGAGCTATGAAGCTCTGCTGAGAATCCCTTGTGCCCCACTGATTTGGGGTATGCCAACAACAGATCCTTCCTTGTCCCTGGCAAGTGCACACGCAAATTGGATTTAGGCCCTATCTGGGGCCTTGTAGTCTCTCCTAGCCAAGTCCAAAATTAGGCTCAGTCATCCCCATACCTGTCATACTTGCTCCACAAGGCCCTGTACACTTTGCTGCAGTAAGAAAGGTCTACTGGTCTCTTTACAGACCAGGAAACTGGCTCGGACAGGCTAAGTATGGTACCTGGAGTTGTTATATCTGGGTAGGGAACCTGTTGGTTTTAAAAAGCAGTGAACTCAGTTGGGTATGGAACATCTGAACACAGATAAAAGAAGTGTGAGTGTAGAAAATGTGTGGGGTAGGGCATGGTAGTGCATACCTGTAATCCTCACACTTGGGAGGCGGAGACAGGAGGATCATGAGTTTGAGAATATCTGAACTCCATAGTGAAATCTTGTCTCAAAACCACCAAACAAGCCGGGTGTTGTTGGCTTATGCCTGTAATCCTAGCTACTCAGGAGACTGAGATCTGAGAATCACGGTTCAAAGTCAGCCCAGGCAGGAAAGGCTGTGAGACTCTTAACTCCAATTAACAGCCAGAAAACCAGAAGTGGCTCTGTGGCTCAAGTGGTAGAGCACCAGCCTTGAGCTGAAGAGCTGAAGGACAGTGCCCAGGCCCTGTTCAAGCCCCATGATTGACAAAAACAAAAAAACGACCAAACAAGAAACCTGGATGTTTTTTGTTTTCCTTGTGATGCTAGGGCTTGGCCAGGTAAGCCCTTCCCCAGCCAGAGATATAGAGGGGGCTTTGATCCTGTTACTTTTGTCACATTATCCTGACACTCCCTCCTATGAGGTTTTAACTGTTTTCCCCACTCAGCATGCAATGCCAACCTTCTCAGCCACAGCCACCAGCTTTGGATGAAGGGGCTGGTGCCTCTGTCCTACTGTCCCCCAATACTCCATTCAGATTGGTCATCTGGGTCCCTTTTCCTTTCAGTTCTTCGCCTGTCTGGTGATGATCACCTATGGAGTGAGCACTTTCTTCAGCTTCCAGGCCTGGCGAGGAGCAGGCAGCAACGCAGCCACCAGTCAAATGGCTGGTGGCTATGCCTAAGCCACCTGTGCTGTGGCCCACACCAGTGCAGGGCTACCTACATGCCCAGGGCCGGGGCCCTGTGGGTCAGCGCAGCGCCCTGCTCAAGGGACATCAGCTCTTCAGTACCCCTGAGGATGCAGGCCTGGGATGAACCTGTGTGGGTGTGGTTAAGACTTCCTCATCCCCCTTATTCAGCAGAAGGTGACGGGGGATGTGGGGTTTTCTCACCGGCAGTCTTGCCTTGGAGGACCTCAGGCTCCAAGGCTGGGCCCATCCCTCTCACTCAGCGCTAAATGCACTAACAGACTCCAAGCCTGAGCCCTGAGCTGCCATAGGATAAGCTAACAAGCAACACAGATATCATAGCCTTTGTTTCTGGAGAGCCAAGCAAGCCCACCACCATTCCTTAAGGGGCCACCCTGACCTCCCCCAGGCCCGTGTGTCACCCAGCAAGGCAGCCTGGTAACTTCCTCAGCTGTGATCCTCCTTGTGAAATGGTGACATCCATGCAGACTGCTTCCCCAGGCTGCTGATTAAGCTCATGGAATGCAGGAGGGAGGGAACAGGACTTTGCCTGAATTGTCACATGGTTGGTGGTATCTCTGGGTTTTTTGTTTTGTTTTGTTTTTTACAATTTAAATAAAGATGAAGGAACTTATTTGGAAAAGATGTTGAAATCGTAACTGTGGATGTGTGTAAACTCCAGGAAGCGGTAGATGAAGACTGCAGAGACTCCAAAATGCCTATTCGAGGACAGGCCAGGTTGCAGAGTTACTCAGTGCCACTAGCCAGCTGTCCTGAGGGAGGATTGCTCTACTTGCTGTAGACTCTGTCTCAAGTAGTCCTGGCCTAATGTATCTGAGGGTGGAGCTCAATGGCAAAAGATATATATGATTACTGCAGTCCCTCCATACTGCACCCCCAGGAGTCCAGATTAGCTACCCTTGTGCTCATAGCAGGGATTTCAGTAACATTATTTGCCTCGTAAGTGTGTGAAGCTTAGAGATGCTGTCATCTAGGTGGCTGCCTTCTGTACCTCAGCTGGTAGACAGCAAGCGGAGGGCAGCCCAGTCTTGAGCTGATTTTGCCACTACCATGTAAGCAACACCCTCTGAATAATAAACTAAAAACACTTCTAGGCACCTTTTAGTACTTCTAATATATATATATATATATATATATATATATTATATATATACACATATATATGTATATCCATAAGCTGGGTGGCGGTGGTGGCTCACATCTGTAATTCTAGCTACTCAAGAGGCTGAGATCTGAAGATCATGGCTCAAAAGCCTGTCCAGGCAGACAAATCTAAGAGACTTTTATTTCCAATTACCCAGCAGGAAGCCAGAACTGGAGGCATAGTTCAAGTGCCAGTGCCAGTCATAAGTGAAAAAAATAAAGTGAGAATGCGTGGCTTAGAGTTCAAGCCCTAGTACCAGTATTTGTGCCTGTGTTCATGGGCATGTACACACCACACAGACACACTTAGGTTCGGCTGTGGATGGGCCTCGGCTATAGAGGGATAGGATCAAGTCCAGCTTCCATCTCAGTGTGTACTTGCTGTCCTGGCTATTGTAAATATTAATGACACCGGCTTTACTCTCCAGTGTTAGAATTTAATCATTTCTTGTCACTCCAGCATTAAGTCATAAAGAGAGGCCTAGTTTTAAGGAAGAGGCTTAGAGCCTACCCCTCCATTTCAGGCAGCACTGCTTGGCAGCCCACCCACCTTAGGCACTTTCTAGTTAAAGTTATCTGCAAGATCACTTAGAATGCTAAGCTACTAGTCTTGCTTTTGCTTTTTTCCTAAGTAGGAAGAATGGAAAGAACAGTTTACCTTCCTTCTCAGTCTTCACCCGACTTGTATACTTGCCACTTCTCCACTAGGCAGGCTGCCCGTGGACCTTACTATGCACTCCCACTGTGTCCACTGTGATGGGCAGTTCTGCAAGGAGCAGGGAGGGCAGGGCCCTGGGGGCAGCATCTATAAAGCTGTTAATAACCAGGTGGCGCTGGGTACTTTAAAGAGAGGACTGCTCGTTTAGAATGATGGTTCTTGCAAAACACCTCGAAATTTTACTCAGGTTACAAAAGTAGCAACAAACTACTACAGAAAAACACATAGTATAGCTTAAAGCTCATCCTCTGAAACTGCAACAGTCACTGAAAAGCCAGGATGGGTTTTCGTGTGGAAAGTACATATTAGGAATCGAACTGCTTTCTGGCTAGCTATAGTCTACCAAATGCTGTTCTAAACCAAGGCAGACAGGTGACCAGCAGAGCTGTCCCCCATCCACTCTATGCTGAGCTAGACCTTCTCAGATAGGTTTTTGACAGAAGAAAAAATTGCTTCTCTACCTCCTCCAAGAAAGCCCACCAAACTGGTTTATGCAGAAAGGATTTTAAGCAAACCTGCACATACACTTAGCATGCTCCAAAAGCAGGGCAGTTCCTACTCTATTTCTAGCACATAGCCTATGTTCACTGGAGCCAATACAACAGGTGCACCAGTGCAGACAGCATCTTTGCCTTCACAGAACTAACTCAAAAGAACACAGAGAATACTTTGATCTTAAGTGGGGGATCATGACAGTTCCATGACCATATATATCTACCAGGCTAGCCTGAGTTTTCATCTATAAAAATATTTTTTTCAAAAATAATGCCTAAGAGATTTCTAGAAAGTGGGACTACATGAGAAAAACAGCAGAGTGGTACAAGCACTGCAGATGTAAGATGGTTTTTGGGTAGAGGATATCTCTCTCGGTTCCTACAGCCAACACACCTTATGGCGGACAGCTGGCACGAGGATCTGGCAAGGTGAGTAGTCCCAGACAAAACCCTCTGAGGATGCAGGACTGAAACTGACCCATGTGACAGAGCTGTGCACACACTGACTTGTGCAAAGTCTGCTGGGACAAAGGGCTCATGATGGCGGGTTATTTCACGCTGTTGACACTCCATGTGCCCTGGAGAGGGGTCTGGCTCAGAAGCACCTGGGAGAGGTGTCTACATGGGGAAGGAAAGAAGCACGAGGGTGGCTGAATACAAGAAGGTGTTCTAGGAGAAATGGTCCAGAAGGGTCAGGTCATGTTGTCTGTGACCCATCAATACTTAACATAAATGGCAACACAGCAGCAGTCTTTCAGAGACCATGTCTGTGGGCATAACTGAAGTCTCTAAGCCCACCAGGCTAGTGACATCATCCGAGATGGTCCCACCCATTGCCTGGAGGTGGGCCCTAGTGACGTACATTGTTCTGGGAGGCTGGTGTAGAAGATGATTTGCATAAGGACGTCACCACCAAGCCACTGCTCAAGTCTAGTCCTCGTCCTTCTTTTTCCTACAAGAGGAAAAAAAAAAATGTTCAAGAGGCAAGGAACATAAAAAGGGCTTTCAGTTTCAGGCCCCTGCTTTTAGCCTGGGAAAGGGGAAGGAGTTTATAGTGGCAGAGTGGCTGTGTGGCCCCACAGGGGAGTACACAAAGCAGGGTGGTTGGCCTTAGGTGCTCTTAAAAGTGATCCTTTTCAGCCAGGTGCTGGTCTCTCATGCCTGTAATCCTGACTACTCAGGAGGCTAAGATCTGAGAATTGATTCAGAGACAGTGGCCAACCCCTGAGTTCAAGCCTCAGGAGCAGCACCAAAAAAACAAAACAAAACCCCCCCCCCCAAAACAAAAAACAAAAGAACCTCTCTTCTCTAGAAAACACTTCCTGCAAAGAGCCTGCATTACAAGCTGGCCTGGAGGAGCACACTCGTGGCATCTTGAGAGGTAGGGTAGGAGGACTGTCTCAGGCGGACTGGGGCATAGTGGTAGGGCCCTTGCTTAGTATGCATGAGACCCTGGGTTCAATCTCCAGGCTTGCCAAAAAATAGTGAAAACTAAAACCTGGGTTGCAGAAAAGGTGAGGAGATTCTATCTGTTCTTTACTTTGAGCTCTTGTGACTATTTAGAGACGCCCTCCTCCACCACCACCCCTGGGTGGTACCTGGGCCTATCTCTCCAGCATATGAAAAGGTCTGGCTTTTGGGGCAGCCCCCTTGACTGACACCTCGCTAGTTGTGTAGCTGCTATTGCCCAGTTGTAATGGGAAACATGATGGGAAGCAGGGGAGGTTGTGTTTAATACCTCTGCTTGGAATTCTCTAAGAGGTTCGGGACAGCAGGTAAAGGTAGTCAGAACTTACTGCTCTGTAGTCCAAAAACATTTCTTTAAATGCCAGAAAATCAGTAAATGTGAGCAGCATGTCAAATATGTCACCAGCTACTTCATCTTTATGGTGCCTGCAAAAGAAAGGGCTGTGATGATGCCCGTGGAGTGGGGAGGGCCTCCCGCCCAGGACCTCGCCTGGGAAGTTGCAGGAAGGAGGGAAGGAAGTTAGGACAGAAATGGAATGGAGTGAACAAACTCACTGTAGCGCTGTTGTGAAAGTGGCCATGTTGAATCCAGGGATCCGCTCCAGCAGCTGTTCTTCAATATATTTTTCTACCAGAGAAATCTACAACAGTGGAAAGGATCTTGGTTAGACCCCGCTTTAGGGAAACAAGACTTCCTTTCAGAAAACCTGCCCCCATCCTTGGCGAGCATCTCCTGAAAGCCTATGCTGAGTGCCAGGGTTACGAAGGGAGACAAAACCCAGCTGTCCTGGGCCTGCATGGTACAGAGAGGGGCATTTGTGGGTAACTGTGCCTAACAGGATGATCGCTCTAAGGCAGGTGGAGAGAGCCCCCAGTAGGCTCTCATAGGAAGTGGGGTTATTCTCCCCAAATAACCCCACCTATGAGGTCTGTGCACACAGAAAACATATGAAGCACAGGAAGAACACGGTTCACAGGTCCTGCCAACCTGTTTTTCTCCATGGTTGTGTGTTCAGAAAATAAAATCCTGGAGGCTCAAACCTAGTCTTAGATAGATGAAATAATTCCAGGAGGCCACAAGAGATTTCAGGGTTCGATGTAAAACCCAAGGGTGAGGCGAAGGTCCTGTATTCTAGTCTTGGTTTCTCACACTTAGTGACTCTCTCTGCTTGTTCTCACTTTTACATAGTACCTGACTAGCTGATAAAGAATACAGTGTTTGGGGCTGGGAAGGTGGCTCAGTGGTAGAGCGCTTGCCTTGCATGCATGAGGCCCTGGGTTCGATTCCTCAGCACCACTTAAGCAGAAAGAAAAAAGCCGGAAGTGGCGCTGTGGCTCAAGTGGTAGAGCGCTAGCCTTGAGCTGAAGAGCTGAGGGACAGCGCCCAGGCCCAGAGTTCAGGCCCATGACCGGACCACTCCCCCCCCCCCAAAAAAAAAGAATACAGTGTTTGAACAATATTTATTAAATTGGGCATGGTGGTACACACCTATAATCCCAGATTTCTGGAGTGTGAGACAGGAGGAGGTTAAGTTCCATGCCAGCCTGGCTACACACACTCCTGCTGTCTCAAAAACCCAAAGGCTGGGAATGTGACTCAATGGAAGAATACTTACCTGCCATGCCTACGGCCTAAAGTTTCAGTCCCAATACTGAAAAATAGTAAGTTTGCTGAAACTGAAGGTGGGACATGGTAAAGCCAAACTTCTCCTAAGTGAGAAGTTCGTAGGCTCAAATATTGCCTGAAAGCCTGTTGAAAAGCAGCCTTTTGAAAACAGCTCAAATACTGCCTGACTTTTGAAAAGAGCTGGAGAAAAATGAACCAAAGCAGATTCTAACCATAATCCCTGGCAATATTTCAAAAGATGAGCAAGTTTCAACACCTGATTCTAAATCCAACTTTCTTTTTCTTTTTGGCCAGCAGTGGGGCTTGAGCTCAGGGCCTGGGCACTGTCCCTAAGCTTCTTTTGCTCAAGGCTAGTGCTCTACCACTTGAGCCACAGCACCACTTCTGGCTTTTTCTGTGTATGTGGTACTGAAGAATTGAACCCAGGGCTTCGTGCATGTGAGGCAAGCATTCTACCATTAAACCACCTTCCCATCTCCTAAATCCAACTTTAAAGAAACCCTAATCTATATTTATTTATTTTTGGGTCTGATCATGGGGCCTGAACTCTGGGCCTGGGCGCTGTCCCTCAGCTCTTCAGTTCAAGGCTAGCGCTCTACCACCTGAGCCACGGCGCCACTTCCGGCTTTTTCCTTTTTGCTTATGTGGTGCTGAGGAGTCGAACCCAGGCCTCAGGCATGCAAGGCAAGCGCTCTACCACTGAGCCACCTTCCCAGCCCATGAAACCCTAATTATTAAGAGAAGCACAAATCTCTACTTACATATTCGTTAAAAATGGGCGTGTAGGTAAGTTTATTCTCTTCGGTGTCTTCAAACTCCTGGTAATACTTGTCCATGAAGTTTCTCTGTAATAACTGGAACTCATCATCTGAGCCACAAAGGGGAAATGTATTGTTTTTAATGGAGACTAAAGCCATTCAGATTTATGGGGTGGGGGAGGGGGGAGGGGGAAGTACTGCTTCTCAGCAGCCTGCCTCTAGAGAGGAAAGGCTAGGATTCAAGAGAGGTTAAATGGGACACCAGTGTTCAAATAGAACAATCAGTCTTCTTAAAAACTGGGAAGATATTTTGCCATTTACCCAGTACTCAGTGTACAGTTTCAGGGGCTTCAAAATGTTCACACTGCTGTTTAAGCAGTTGTAAACATCCATACGGATGGCCTGGAACTTTCTTACCTGGCCTGTCAGCAAGGAAACGACTACGTCCCCCCAACCTTCTCCTTCCCCTCTCCCTGCACAAAATTTTATTGTGCACACAGAAGGTCAGTTCCCCAACTGGGGGACTTCAGATGAATTTTAGCAGCAACACGGAAATAACAGGAATGAAAAGTGCGGCCGACAAGAGGCTGGACATCCTCAGTTCCCTCAGTTCCTCAGCCATGTACTAGTTGTGAGGCCTCAGACTATTTACTTATTTATTTATTTATTGCCTGTCATGGAGCTTGAACTCAAGGCCTGTGTACTATCCCTGAGCTCTTTGGCTCAAGACTAGTGCCTTAGTAAAGCCTTAGCTTTACTTCTGGTTTTCTGGTGGTTAATTGAAAATAAGAGTCTCATAGGGACTTTTAGGCTTAGGCTGGCTTTGAACTGTGATCCTTAGATCTCAGCCTCCTGAGTAGCTAGGATTAACAGGTGTGAGCTACCACACCTGGCTTCATACCACTTATTTCTATCAACTCCAAATTCCTCATCTGAAACATGCTGATTTTATCATATGGGATTGCTAGATGAAATTTGGATATTCATGTAAATAGTAATATTCCTGCTACTGAATAGGATCTTATTTCTAAATAAGAAGAATGCTTCAAGGGCAGCTCCCACAACCTGCCTCTGGGTTAAATACCCTGAGCTTACAGAGGCTCATTCCCTCACAGCAGACAGGGTGCCTGGTAAGGGGCAGTATTTGAGAGAGCTGAGGGATAAACCATTCATACTTGAGACTTCAGAACACTGACCTTTACAGGACCTGAAGGGTCACAAACTTAGCAACTTCCACACTACACTGGATTAACCTAGATAGCCAGTAACTGCAAATCACTTTTTTTCCTAATTCTCAGAGAACATAAAAGACTATGGACAAAAAGTTCTCTCAAGTTTAAGTTTTTTCCTTCCCCATGTTTGCTTTAAGTTCTGGGGCCTATTACTGCTTATTTGATACTTAGCAGCATTTATTAAGGTACTAAAGGAATCTACAAATGGGAGTTTTGTTTGTTTTTTTTTGGTTCGTGTGACTTGAATGCTGGGCTTGGGTGCTGTCCCTCAGCTCTTCAGCACAAGGCAAGTGCTCTACCACTTGAGCCACAGTGCTACTTCTGGCTTTCTGGTGATTTATTGGAGATAGGAGATAGGACTTTGCTGCCCGAGCTGTCCTTGAACCACGATCCTCGGATCTCAGCCTCCTGAGTAGCTAGGATTACAGGCGTAAGCCACTGGTGCCTGGCTTCAAATGGGAACTTTTAAGCTCAGGAAAACAGAACCAGCTGAATTCTGATTCCTTATATTATTCATGGACATGTGTGGGTTTTATGTTGTTTTATGGCATAAAAATGCTAGAATTTACCTGGCACTAGTGGCTCACTGTAATCCTAGCTTTACTAAGAGGGTGAGATCTGAGGACTGAGGTTTGAAGCCAGTCCTGGCAATAAAGTCCCTGAGACTCTTATTTCCAATTAATCTCTGCCCTCCCCTCACAACTGGAGGTGGAGCTGTGGCTCAGGTGGTAAAGCACTAATCTTTTTTTTTTTTTTTTTGGGTCCAGTCGTGGGGCCTGAACTCTGGGCCTGGGCGCTGTCCCTCAGCTCTTCAGCTCAAGGCTAGCGCTCTACCACTTGAGCTACAGCGCTACTTCCGGCTTTTTTCTTTTTGCATATGTGGTGCTGAGGAATCGAACCCAGGGCCTCATGCATGCAAGGCAAGCACTCTACTACTGAGCCACCTTCCCAGCCCCTAAAGCACTCATCTTAAGCCAGCCAAAGAGACTAGGAGACTAGGACAGTGCCCAGGCTCCAAGTTCAAGCCCCAGGACTGGCACCAAAAAAAAAAAAAAAAAAGGCCAAAACTCAAGCCAGATGCTGATGACTCACTCACACCTGTTATCCTAACTACTCAGGAGGTTGATACATGAAGATCTAGGTTCAAAGCCAGCCCAGTAGAAAAGTCCATGAGACACTGATTTCCAAATAACTATCAAAAAAGCTAGAGGTGGAGCTGTGGCTCAGGTGGTAGAATGCAAATCTTGAGCTCAAAGCTCAGGGACAGTGCCTGGGCCCTGAGTTCAAGCTTCAAGACAGGCACAAAAAAAAGGGGGAAAACTAAAAAAGCTGCCACTCAAAACTATCTAAAAACCACAGTACTCTGTGTGGGCAATAAAGCAGACCAAAACTCCTAGAAGCCTCAGCAAGAGCACAGAGTACTTCTATGGGCTGTCACCTGAATATGTTTTGAGTACTGTGCTGTTTCTAAGACATATCCCAGTGTAGCTCTTAGATATTGAGTTGTACCTTATTAAAATATACATGAGGGGCTGGGAAGGTGGCTCAGTGGTAGAGTGCTTGCCGGAAGTGGCGCTGTGGCTCAAGGGGTAGAGTGCTAGCCTTGAGCTGAAGAGCTAAGGGACAGCGCCCAGGCCCAGAGTTCAGGCCCCATGACCGGACCCCTCCCCCAAAAATATATATATACATGGAACTTGAAGTTCTCTATTGTTAGAAAACTTTTAAATAAGTAATTTTTATTGTGATTAAGTGATTACATAAATTTCACAGTATTGTGAGATAGTGGTACTTATTTAAAGTCACAAACACATTCTAACCTTCATAAGGCAAATTTTCATTATCATGGTCTATAAAGTTTGTGAATTCTATGACAATACAGCTATTTCTTCCACATTGGGTGGGATGCACATTTCTTTCCTTTTGCTTAGTTAGCTGTTCCCTCTATCCCTCTCATTCCCTCCCTCCCATTGCTGCCCTTGGGTTGCTTAGTCCATTTTCATCAGTGTCCAGTGCAGCTGATGGGCCCCTCTGTTGTATGTTTTCGCCCGTTTCCCTCTGATTCTGTGTCCTCCTCCTAGTTTCCCTCAGATGTGCATGTATACCATATATGTGGTCAACAGCTTGGGGTCATTTAGTAATGATACAAGATGAGTGAAAGTCTTTTGATTTTTGAGTTCTGTTGAAAACTAACTTTTAAAATTAAGTTCAATGTCCATAAAAGCAAGGATCTAAGAACCAGAGAACACAGGCCAGGCTGCAGAATACTTTACCCATGATAATGTCCTCTAGACATCCGACCACAGCATCGAATTCTGCATCAGAGGCAGAAGAGCTGAAAAATAAGCCAGGATTAGATGTTGGTTCAAATAATTATTTTAAAAAAGAAAGTTGGGCTGGGAAGGTGTCTCAGTGGTAGAGTGCTTGCCTTGCAAGCCAGAGGCCCTGGGTTCGATTCCTCAGCACCACATAAGCAAAAAGCAAAAAGCCGGAAGTAGCACTGTGGCTCAAGTGGTAGAGTGCTAGCCTTGAGCTGAAGAGCTGAGGGACAACGCCCAGGCCCAGAGTTCAGGCCTCACGACCGGACCCAAAAAAAAAACAAAAAACAAAAACAAAAAACAAAACCAAGAAAGTTATTCCTGGCAGGGGTGAAAAGGATAGCAAAATCAGTATCTCGTCCTTCATCTTCAAGAATTAGGAGGACCCTGCCTGGTTTGGTGGCTCATACCTGTAATCTTAGCTATTCAGGAAAGTTGGGGTGAGGTAGAAATTGGAGATAGGGAAAAGCTCAATGGCCTGATTTAGCCAACAAAAATATGGTGTGCGCCGGACTCTGGTGGCTCACAGCTGTAATCCTAGCTAGTCAGGAGGCTGAGATCTGAGAATCGCGGTTCAAAGCCAGCCCGGGAAGGTAAGTCTATGAAACTCTTCAATAAACCACCAGAAAAACAGAAGTGGTGCTATGGCTCAAGTGGTAGAGCACTCACCTTGAGCTGAAGAGCTCAGGGACAGTACACAGGCCCATGGCGGACAAACAAATTAAAAAAAAAAAAAAACCCAACAACAAAAAGTTGTGTGTGGTGCTCGTCCATCATCCCATGCCCTGGTCAAGTTTTTTGTTGGAGAATCTAGATCTATGCCAAGGTAAAAAAGATCCTATCAAAAAATAAAGAGAAGGGGTATGTGGCTCAAGTGATTCAACCCCCCCCACCCTCCGTACCTCCCTCCCTGTCCCTCCAAATGAAGTCCAGGTCCTGTGGCTCAAACCATAATCCCAGTTACTTGGGATTATGGTTTGAGGCCATCTGGTGGAAAAATGCAAGACCCTATCTGAAAAATAAAATGAAAAGGGCTGAAGGCTTGTCTCAAGTGGCAGGGGCCCTGAGTTCTATCCCCAGCATGGTCAAAGAATGAAAAAATTAAGCATTATTAATTTTTTGTTGTTCAGGCCCAGGGCCTGGGCGCTTGCGGTCCCTGAGCTTTTAGTGCCCAAAGCTGGCACTCTACCACTTAAATACGCCTCTACTTCGGGCTCTTTTAGTGCTTAATTGGAGGTAAGAGTCTCCAGGACTTTCCTTTCCTTGCCGGGGCTGGCTTCGAACCACGATCCTTAGTAGCTAGATCGCAGGCGTGAGCCTAGGGCACATGCTTATTTCTGATCTAAAATTTCAAACAGAAGGAAAACACCCGTGACCTGCCGCCTCTTTCATAAAACTTAACATCACAGACCACTGAAAGGGAGCGGAGGATGGCTTGGCCATCTCCAGGCGGCAGATCTCTTATCCCCTGGGGGTCTACTCACCGCATTTTAGCGATCGCACCACACCTGGCGCGGGGAAACTGGATGGGAGAGTGCTCGGGTCGGAGGTCGTTGGGGGACAGGTGCGGGGGGAGGGGGTGGGGAGGACAAGCGTGTTGGGGGGAGGGGATGGGTCCCCGGACTGCGGGCCACGCCTCGCCGCTCAAGTGCGCCGGGCCGGCCTGGGATTGTGATGGAGGGGTGACAAAGCCCCACGCCCTCGGAGGACAGGCCCAGGCCCGCGGCGCATCCTCCAGCCACGGTCACTCACAAGGACAGCGCGATGCTCTCTTCCTCCAGGGCGTCCATCGCCGCGGCGCAGCATCCACCCGCAAGGGTGAGCGGGCCCGCCGCCTCCGCCTCTACTCCGCCCGCCGCCCCGCCCCGGCCTCCGTTAAGCTCCGCGGAGCCCCTACTCTCATGGAGGGCGCGGCGGGCCCGAGGAGGCCTCACTGCCCAGCCGCGGGCCCGCTCACGGCGCAGCTGGGTCAGGGATCACAAGCAGGGCCGAGCCTCGGGTCGAGCCTCGGGTCCCGGGCTGCAGCCCAGCGCCGGCGGGGCTTCCACGCGCGGCCACACCGCGCTACTCGCGCCGCGCGCAGCCACAGTCGCCCAGCTTGTCTGACTGTCCGTTACTAACCGCCGCACGCCGTGCCCCGCCTCCCGTTACCATGGCTACCGCCTTCTGGGCTCTCAACAGCCAATCACAGACGCCTTTTGCCGCCGCCAGGGGCGGGGCAAAACGGGGAGAGGAAGTCCGGGAAAGAGAACGTCGTGCAGTGATGCTGGTCCTTGTCAATCATTCAGTGAAGCGTGGAGAGTTTCAGGGCTTAGTCGCCGAACTTCACCTGGTCCGTATATTATGGACGAAGAAATCGAAGCCAAGATCCTCAGTTTCCTCACTTGTTGGGTGTGTTTTTCAAAGAGCCTTTTAAAGAACGCCGTAAATTGTTAAATCGTTTGAGCCAGACTTTGATCTTGCAGATTTGTAAGTTACTTCCCCCTTAGGGGAAGATGGAAAAAAGGCTCTACTGCATGTGGTGGAACTCTTGCAAGTTGCATCATAATCTTTGCATTATAGATTATGAGGCTTATTATGGATCTAATTATGCAAGTCAGAAATTGAGAACACTACTTTGAGCCAGTCAATCAGAAACTGAACTGTTCCAGAAGTTTCATCCAGAATGTTAAACCTTTTTTGGGTCGGTCGTGGGGCCTGAACTCTGGGCCTGGGTGCTGTCCCTCAGCTCTTCAGCTCAAGGCTAGTGCTCTACCACTTGAGCCACAGTGCCTCTTCCAGCGTTTTCTGCTTATGTGGTGCTGAGGAATGGAACCGAGGGCCTTATGCATGCAAAGCAAGCACTCTACCACTGAGCCACCTTCCCAGTATTCCTCCATCAGGTACTTTCTGGTCTCGAAAAGAACTTACCTACTAAGTCATGAGGTCAGAGTGGAGAATGAATGAAACAATGAATAACTTCATCTGTTTTGATTGCTGTTACAAACCACACAACCTACTGGTCTAAAACAATTATGTTCTCACTATTACAGCTTGCGCAGGGCTCATCATGAAGCCAGAAACTCCTTCAGAGGAGCTCACTCACCTGGCCAGCAAATTAGTGTTGGCTGTTGCTAAGAGATCAGCTGTGGATGTGTATATTTAACCTGAGTTCCTCTGCATAGAGGTCTTTCTGGGGATATTTGGGTTTTCTTACATCATGGTGACTGGGCAAAAAGCAAGCATTTCAGGGACTGTCAGTCACTTAAGGGTCTGGAATTGGAAATGGACAGAGTCATTCATATGTTGTTCGTAAAGCATAAAGAATACATAGAATCTACCCAGATTTAAAGGTCATAAACCTTTAAAAAAAGGGGGAGGGAGAAAGGGATATTAGGGATTGATACAGAGATTCATGTTTGCTAGGTAAAACTCTACCACTGAACTACACTCCAAATGCTATGAACCTCATTTCTTCTTTCTTCACTGTTTTCTTTTTGCTCTGGTTGCTTTTTTTTACAGTCTTACTTTTCTATCAGCCTGGACTGTGATCCTGCTTATGCTTCCCCAACATACCTGGGATGACAGGCACATGCCTTCATACTCAGCTATTTCTGTTGAGATGGAGGCTTAAGAACTTTTTTTTTGCTTAGGCCTGCCTCAAATGAAGATCCTCCCCTTCTTCCCCGAGCAGTTAGGACTTACAGGTGTAAGCTACTGGTGCCCAGCCTTAAACCTCATTTTCTTGAAGGTCTTGCTGACACCCAGGGTGACCTCAAATTGGTGATTCTCTGGAATTACATGTGTGAACAACCACACCAGGCTTTAAACCTCATTTGCTGGGAAGAATACCAAGGATTTTGCAGCAATCTTTTAATCTATTTTGCCATGTTTGGCTCTAGGAAGAAAGGATAAAGATAACAGGTACCTGCTTACTTAGGCATTTACTAGACACTATATTAAACATTTATAGTTTCCTTTAAAAGTGCTTTGAGGAAAGGGCCAAAACTACAACCCTGGTTAAAAGAATATTACCTCTATTTAACCGATGAAGGCCTGGTGGGCACTGGCTAAGTTCTACTGCAAAGGATCATTGATCATACTATATTGCTCTCAATGCCTGCTATTAAACATACTCTTAGAACATGAGGTTTTTCTGCTGGAAACAGAATACTGGCTCCCCCCCAATAAAGTTCAAATTGAATATATCTAAATGATGCTTTTCCATTAATAAAATTTAAAAGCCTTTGTGGATTAGCATTAAGAATAGTTGTAAGTGATGTTTTCATGGATACACCATGAAGATGGCTGAAACACAGGCCAAAGTTTCTGCTTCTAAGACTGAATCACTATTTCCTGGCACTCTGCAAATGACAATTTTCTCCTGCTTTATTTACTAACAACAACAACAACACCCCAGCACTTCATTTTTTCCCCTCCTGAAACCTTAATTTTCTTAACATTTGGGAAGTGTTATTACTTAATCTGCCCCTTCCAGCCTGTAGCAACATAACAAGAATAAAAGACTCCCGTTTAATTTCTCTTAAATGGTTTCCTTCAGCACAGGATCTTGTCCTAGTTTGCCAATCCTTCCCTTCTCCTCTGTGGAGTAAACCAATGTCTTTCCTTTGTAATTCAAAGGTTACACTTTTGATTCCTTCATGAGTGGTTAAATCAATTTTAATATTTTAGCCTTTTGCTTCTGTGGTCCATTTTAAGGCCAAAGGCCTGACATAAATGTATGGAATACTGATAGGTTCCTGTGTTCCTTTGATTCCTCACAGATTAACAGTTAATTTCATCTCTTTTCTCTCAAGAGTTTTCATACAGCCTTCAGCTGGACTATTTCAGCCTCCTTACTGGTCCCACCTCTTCTATTTTGTGCTTCTGTAACCCCAACCCATTCTTCCATCCCAATCTCCAAATACAAGCTAGAGCCATCTGAAATTATCAGATTACTTCCACATTCAAAGTCCTTTTTTTTCCTACTGAATTTAGGACAAAATAGAAAACCCTTCACAAGCTTCCAACACTAGCACATACTATTTTTTCTTGTTTCTCAACAGAGACAGGACCTTCCACCATATCCCAGCCTTGAGCTCTTTAGTGAGGACCTGAGCTTCTAATGCAGTGCTTATCTAGTTACCCAGTCCTCAGCCCCTCTGCCTGGCTGTAGCCTTTTTCCTCCTCCTGACAACCTCCTACATCCAGCTAAACATACAAATAGGTCTGCCTTCTTCCTTAGAACTAACTATATTCTCAGTTGGGCGCCGATGGCTCACACCTGTAATTGTAGCTACTCAGGAGGCTCAGAGGTGAAGACTGCAGTTCAAAGTCAGACCAGGCAGAAAGGTCCCTGTGAGACTCTTATCATTAACCACTCAAAACCTGGAAGTAGAGCTGTGGCTTAAAGTGGTAGAGAGCTCACCTCGAGCATAAAAGAGCTCAGGGACAGCACCCAGGCTCCGACTTCAAGCCTCAGGACCAAAACCAAACCAAACCAAACCAACAAAAAAATAACTATATTATTTTTCTTCAGGGCACTAACAAATTATCACAGCAAAAACAAAAACAAAAAACCACCAACAACAAAAAACCACACTCCCCCTTCCCCACAAACTCCACAAACACAAGTACTGTACAACAGGCAGGGCCCAGGGTAGATTAGGAGCTCAGTGGGGACCTGGTCAATAAAGAAAGTAATCAAACTTCTTCAGTGTGTGTGTGTACACGGTGGTGGTGGTGAACCTAGGGCCTTAAGTATGCTGGGGAAGTGCTCTACCTCTGTGCCCTTTACTATTCTTACATGAGTCTCTCCTACTCTGAAGAGTAGGGACTTCAGCAGAAGGCAGCAATGAAAGCTATGAAACCTTAGTTAAAAAAGGCAACAGATGTTTTATTCTTCAATGCAAATTACTGTATTCACCACAAGCTAAAGAGAACATATATCTCTATAGATGTATATTTATATATATATATTTTTTTGGATTTATGGAAGACTAGAGACATGGAAAAAAAATCCAGCACCCCAACAAGTACAGCCAGGAAGGAAATCTCTGTAATGGACAGATTTAATGAACTACAAACAAGAAAGGGTGGGAAAGGAAGAAAAAATGTGCATTGAGTTTAAGACGCTATAAAACTCAGAAGACATATTTACTGTTCAAGTATAAACTCAGTAAGGACTTGGCGTAAATTGAAAGGCAGCTGCTGAGGTACACCATTATAAAGTAAGCTCTATGAATTTACAGTTCTACCTTCCAATTTTCTGGGAGAAAAAAAAAATCGAACTCTTGAAGGTCTTCACCAGAGACCCTGAGAGGGATAAACACTTTTGATGAAGACAGTCAACAATCCATGATTGAATTTACTATTCAAAACCATGTATTTATTTAAAACAACAGAAATAAGTGTTCTCAGACTGTCCTTTAGAGTTTTTGAGACTACTGGTTCAAGAGTTTCAAAGTGTATTACTTCCCAAAACAATACTGATTAAAAAAATTTTTAAACAAAAAAACCAAACAACAACAAAAAAACCTGATTTGAATGGTACCTTAAAAATACCCTAAATACCAAATTTTCTCCAGTCTAACATTACAGTTGATTTAAGAATTCCTCCTGCATTGGTAAAACATTTTTTTTCCTCATAAAATATGGGTACGGAGATTGGATAGAAACACCATGAATGTGAAAATACCACCAATTTTCTGCAGTTAAAAAAAACTAGAATGTTCTTTGGAATCACTGAAGTATAAAAAAATTTGTGTTTTTTTCTACAGTCTGCACCTTCCTTCAGGTTCTCCATGTTGCTTGGTGATGACCTGTGGAATTTTACTTTTACAGATTCAGGTCTGCCATGCAACATCCATGCCAAATGACCTGTACACCTGACAGGTGATGTTGACCCCAGAAACACTGTCACTCACGTCTCCAAAAGGACTCCTCCCCCAAATAAAAACTTCAGATTGTGACACAAAGCATCCCCTGTTAAACAATCAAATGAACCCAACATGGAGAGTTCTGGTGGTTTCAGCACTCAGAGGGCATTGTCACTTATTGATTTTCATGGAAGTACCACAGGCCTGGCTGCTGGCGTTCAGCTTTCCTTGGCCTTAAAAGGAATTCAGGGCTGGCAAGTTGGATTAGATTCTAAGAGAATTTTGTCTTTGAGAAACTACCATTTTTAGCATAAAATCTGGCCATGGCTATAAGTTTCAATGTGCGTACAACTGATTCGAGATGGATTTTTTTTCTTTTTCTTTTTGACATTGGCTGGAATTGAGTAGAAATGAGTCCATGACGCCTCTTCACATGTGTCATGAAATATGAGAAATCTGTCTGACTCTAGACACTATTTCTTTACGACACAATGGGCAGGTCTCCAGTTGCAAGGCACAATCCATGCACAGGTCACTGGGGAGAAAGACATAAAAGAAGTTAATGCTTCAAAAGGTCAGACTCTACCTGCCAACTAAATCTAAACTGTTAATAAGTTAGGTGAAAGGGTAATATTTATAGATGGCTTAAAAAATAAAATGAAGGGGCTGGGAAGGTGGCTCAGTGGTAGAGCGCTTGCCTTGCATGCCTGAGGCCCTGGGTTTGATTCCTCAGCACCACATAAGCAAAAAGATAAAAAGCCGGAAGTGGTGCTGTGGCTCAAGTGGTAGAGGGCTAGCCTTGAGATGAAGAGCTGAGGGACAGTGCCCAGGCCCAGAGTTCAGGCCCCACAACCGGACCCAAAAAAAAAAAAAATGAAGCCAGCTGCTAGTGGTTCATACCTGTAACCCTAACTACTCAGGAGGCTGAGATATGAGGACTGAAGTCTGAAGCCAGCCCAGGCAGGGAAGTTTGTTGAGACTATTAAAACGACTGCTGGAAGTAGAAATGTGGCCAATATGGTAGAGTGCTAGCCTTGAGTAAGAAAGCTAAGGACAGCACCTAGCTCTGAGTTCAAGCCCTAGAGAGTCTTGCTTGGATTCTTTCTTGCAGATGGGAAGGTTAATTGCTGTGCTGATCTTCTCAAATGTTAATTGCTGTGCTGACCTTTTCAAGTGTATTTTAAACTGGGATTTCCTTCTATCTATATTTGTGTTATAATATTCCATATGTCAAGAATGGGTATTGGCCAGGCACTGGTGGCTCATACCTGTAATCCTAGCTATTCAGGAGGCTGAGAGCTGAGGATCATAGTTTGAAGCTAGCCCAGGCAGAAAAGTCCATGAAACTCTTCTCTCCAATTAACCACCAGAAAACTGGAAGTGGTGCTGTGTCTGAAAGCTCAGGGACAGTGCCCAAGTCCCACAGCCGGGTTGGGGGGTGGGAAGGAATGGGTATTGACCAGGAAGTAGAAACATGTCTTCTTTGGGAGGGGGAAAAAGAGGACACACAAATGGAGGAAGGGTGAGCATATGCAGTCATTGTATTCTATGTACATTATGTAAAAATTGAACTCTATAACTTGAGGGCAGGGGTAGGAGGAGGAAAGTGAGGGAAAACAATGGAAGGGGAGACACTGATCAAGACTCATTGTACTTATAACCTGACTTACAGAATTGTAACCTCCTTGTATGACTACTTGGTATTAATAATTAAAAAGAATTGATATTGAGCTGGGCACTGGCAGCTAACACCTGTTGATCTTGCTACTCCAGAGGCTAAGACCTGGAGAATCTCAGTTCAAAGCCAGCCTAGGCAAAAAAGTCTGTCAATTAACCAGCGGAAAGACAGACTAGAATGTAGCTCAAGTGGTAGAGCCTTAGCTATAAACAAGAAAGCCCAGTGAGAGCTTAAGGCCCCAGAGTTCAAGCCATGGTACCCTCCCCTGGCAAAAATAGAATGGACAGTGAATTTTCTTGGTTGAAGCAATAACACCCTCTCAACAGCTATATTTGAGTAAATTATATTAGTAGATTTACATTTTGCCATTTTTGCATCCATTTGCTTTGCTTTTTTCTATTTGGTGGTGATGTAGAGGACCAAATCCCAGATTCTAATTCATGCTAGGACTAGGCTGTACTACTGAGCTACATCCCCAGCCTACCTGTGAATATTTCATTTACATTTTTTATATTTTTAGATTTATAATCACAAGCAAAAAAGTTTTCTTTTTTTTTGGGCTGGCCCAGGGGCTTGAACTCTGTGATATCCCTAAGCAAATTTTGCTTAAGGGTAGTGCTCTCTACCACTTGAGCCATAGCTCCATTTCTGACTTTTTCTGTCATTAATTGAAGAATCTCACAGATTTTTCTGCCTGGGCTGGGTTCAAACTATGATCCTCAGCTCTCAGATATCAGCCTCCTGAGTAGTTAGGATTATAGGCTTGAGCCACTGGTACCTGGCAGTTTTCTTTCTGTGTGTGTGTTTTCTTTATCAGTTTTTGATATGATTAACATGCAGTCTTTGTAAAAATAATATTGTGGGTTTCTATTTTTTATCTGTGGTCTATTGAAGTTTAGCTGGAATTTGACCTCTTCCCTGAAAATTATGAAGAATTCACCTGTGAAACCATCTGGGCTAGGTGCTTTGGAAGGGAAGCAAAGGCAATCTCTTCTGTAGTACTAGGAATGCTTAAATTTTCAGTTTATTCTAGTAGTCCAGTTCTAGTAATTCAGATTTCTTTTCTTTATTGTCAATCTTTAAAGATTGTTGCTAACTCAAGTTAGGCTAAATTTTCTTATCATTCCCTTAATTTCCTGTTTTGAATATGCCTATTATAGAAACTATGATCACGTTTAAGATAGGTGGTCCTGTTTTCACTTTATACAGTAGCACTTTTGAACAAGCCCTTATTGTATGCCAAATCATAGGGAAGGACCAGAGGGCTCTCAGATGAATACCAGGATCCTGTTGTTTAGGATCTTAACACTCTTACAGAAATAAAAATAGAAAAGAGTATCAATATCAGCATTCAAGAGGCTGAGGTATTCAAAGCTAGCCTGGGCTATAAGACCCTATCTTAAAAAAGTAAAAATCCAAAAAAAAAAAAAAAAAGGTACAAAGACAAAAAAAAAAAAAAGTAAAAATCCAACCTTTAAACTCTGTAAGGCCCCAATAACTAATACCTGCCTGCAAAGGCAATCATTTGGAAATTCTGGGCTTTGAAGAGAAACTGGTATAACTATGGGTGAAATGAAACAGCCAGATAGCAACCCATCTCAGAAGATAAGTATACAGAAGCTGAGTCAGGAGTCAGGCTGGCTCATTCATGGGGATGATGAACTAAGGTTTATATTCCAGGTTCTGGACTGCAGGAGATCAGGTGGCCTAAGCTTTGTGAATAGCATGAGAAAGACAACGTATGGGATGTGATGAATTACAAGCAGCTGGCTATAACACTAGCATGAGTGTTTTTCACTTAGACTGGCCAGGGAAGCTCTACACCTCTTCCTCTTTGTAATCTTGGTTGGGATGGCTTTCTTCGGGCCCAGATTATTTGCTGCTCTGGCCAATGCTTAGATACTATGTCATGAAAGATCTAAGCTGTCTGCTAAGTTCATCCCCTACAGCTGATTTTTTTTTTTTGTAGGTCGTGGGGCTTGAACTTGGCTTGGGTGCTGTCCCTGTGCTCTTCAGCTCAAGGTACTGCTCTACTGCTTGAGCCACAGCATCACTTCCAATTTTCTAGTAGTTTATTGGAGATAAGAGTCTCACGGACTTTCCTGCCTGGGCTAGCTTTGAACCGAGATCCTCAGATCTCAGCCTCATGAGTAGCTAGGATTACAGGCATGAGCCACTGGCACCCAGCTTACAGCTGAAATTTAAGATGGCAGGGAGGGTGTTAGCCTTCTCAACTGGCTTTGAACTGCCATCCTCAGATTTCAGCCTCCTGTGTAGCTAAGGTTACAGGTAAGAGCTACTGGTACCTGGCTGTAACCCACTTTTTTTTTTTCTTTCCCCTCCATAGCCTTTTTTCTATTTTAAAAATTAATTCATGCATTTAGGAAAAATTCTTCAGGGGCTGGGAAGGTGGCTCAGTGGTAGAGCACTTGCCTTGCATGTGTAAGGCCCTGGGTTCGATTCCTCAGCACCACATAGGCAAAAAGAAAGCCGGAAGTGGCGCTGTGGCTCAAGTGGTAGAGTGCTAGCCTTGAGCTGAAAAGCTGAGGGACAGTGCCCAGGCCCATAGTTCAGGCCCCACGACCGGACCAAAAAAAAAAAATTCTTCAGTGTGTAATCCACTTTTGATATAAAATTCCTGCTTAATGGCTAGGGAGTTGGCAGTACCCTAAAAGTGAGTCAAGAGAGGGGTAAAATGTTGCCTCTGCAATGTACAAACCTGTGTCCACATGGCTTCAGCTGTGTGTCTGCTACTTCATCACAACAAAGGGAGCAGCAGTTCTCACGGATGCTGACTTGTTTCAACAGAGCCAGACGCCTGTGCCTGCATAGACAAAGCAGTTTAAAATTCATTCTCCTAGCAGGAAAAGGGGTTTCTTGTTAATTGCGATGCATATAAAACACTTTGAGTAATGGCCTACCTATGAGAGATATACTAAGCCTTGCTTCTGCTTTGTTCAGTAAAGTTTTCAAACATAATACCTCATACTTTACTCTCAGGAGGCAGTGAAGGAGACTTGGACATTCTCATTTTACAGACAAATTAAAGTTCAAGGGAATGATTTACCCAAGATCACGGTTACTAAAGTCAGAAATCAAATTAAAATCCTTTGATTCTAAGTCTAGTGCTCTTTTTACTTTTTTTTTTTTTTTTTTGTTGGTCATGGGGCTTGAACTCTGGGCCTCGGTGCTGTTCCTTAGCTCTTCATCTCAAGGCAAGCGCTCTACCACTTGAGCCACAGTACCACTCCTGTTTTCTGGTGGTTTATTGGAGATAAGAGCCTCAAGGACTTTCTTGACCAGGCTGGCTTTGAACTGTGATCCTCAGATCTCAGCCTCCTTGGTAGCTAGGATGACATGCGTGAGCCACTAGCGCCCAGATTCTTTTTACTTTAAAAAAAATCTGAACTATATTGGTCTATTCACTTCATACAGAGATGTGTTTGTAAACATATTTTCAGAGTTCAGAGATGTTGAAATAATAAAATTCCATTGCAGAAAAACCCAAACTAGGGCCGGGAAGGTGGCTCAGTGGTAGAACGCTTGCCTTGCATGCATGAGGCCCTGGGTTCGATTCCTCAGCACCACATAAGCAAAAAGAAAAAAAGCCAGAAGTGGCGCTGTGGCTCAAGTGGTAGAGCACTAGCCTTGAGCTGAAGAGCTGAGGGACAGCACCCAGGCCCAGAGTTCAGGCCCCACGACCGGACTCGCCCCCTCCCCCCCCAAAAAAAAACCCGAAACTATTAAAAACCAGTTTTGTTTTTGTTTTTTTTTCCTAGGCAGGTCTCAGTATGTACTCTAGATCAGATTGGAACTCACTATGTAAACCAGGCTGGAGCAGAAAAAGCTCAGGGACAAAGCCCAGGCCCTGAATTCAAGCCCTAGGATTGGCACAAAAAGAAAAAAAACAACAAAAAAATGGGTATCAATCTAACTAAGGAAGAGAAAGACTTCTACAATGAAAAATACAAGACTGTGAAGAAAGGAATTAAAAAAGATATCATTAGATGGGAAGATATCCCATATCATGAATTGGCAGAATATTTGAAAATGGCTATATTGATAAAAGTAACATACAAATTCAATGGAATATCTACAAAAACCTCATTAGGGAGGTTGGGGGTGGGAGAAGAGGAACAGACGTTATGGGGATTAGTTGGATGGTGGGTGGGCTGGAGGGGAGAACAAAGGTGGTTAAATACTGTGGAAATAATTTGCAACTATGAAAATGAATCAACGAAACTGGTTGGGGATGCTATTTTTTAGAAGGAGGTGAGCAAGGAGTATGATAGAGGGGGTGACATTGGTTGGAATACAATATAAATGTGTGGAGCTATAGCAATGAAATCTCTTCTCATTTAACAAGCCAATTTGAAAAAAAAAAAAACTTTCTAGGTTCTTCAACACTAAATAACAGCAACGTTATTACCTACATATTTGGTCTTAATCAAATTCTAGAAATCCCTGTGAAACCACTTAGTACTTTAGGGAAACATGGGTCTTAATTATTTTCCCAATAATTTCATATTAATAACTGGTTCATATATATATATATATATATATATATATATATATATTTTCCTGATATGTTTCAGTTAATTTATATTTCCAAGAAAGTCAGCATGTTTAGTGAGGGTTTCAAAATTTCTTAATAAAAGTTGAAAAATGTCTCTCATAAATGGTTTATCCTAAGTATATAAGTATATGTAACAATCAGGAGACAGCCTTGGTACATTTCTCACCTTGGCAAAATTATTTTTTCTTCAGCTGTTAGGAAGGCATAGTCATTAAAAGTGCTGAATTTCATAGATGGAGGGTACTTGAATGGTTTTGCTCCAAAATTGAACTCACATTGTTGATATGACATGAAACTAGCTGCAGCGAAAAATCCAGATCTATAAATAAAAATGAATATGGGGTCAACAGAATTCATAAAGCCAAAGTAAATCCTCACATATATTGGTTTTCAGAGTCAAGGTGAACCAGTCACATGCTGGCAGAGAGAAAGGAGAACAGTTGCTATGTATTAAGCTAGATAAGCCTGTAAGCCCGAGAATACTACACCTTTATCTTTTATGTCAAATAGGTTTAGGTCTTACTATAGGCATTCCTAAATAAATAAAAAATCACTTTCTCATTATGATTGTTTACATAAAATAAAGTTTTTCTCCTGGAGAAAAGTATATTCCGTGCATCTACTTGAATTTCTGAGACAAGCTACTTACACAGTAGATGAAAAGACTTGCTTCTCAGGAGGCAGCTGGTTGCCATTTAAAAAGAAGATCATTTGCTTTTCATTCAAGTCTAACAGAAACCCGACTGTGTCTCCTAGCAGACAAAACAAAATGCTGTTAAGGATAGTGCTGTGTATTATCAAGATTTTTTTTTTTTTTTTTTGGTACATTGTGGGTCTGAACTCAGGGCCCAGATACTGTCCCTGAACTCTTTTGCTCAAGGCTATTGCTTTACCACTTTAAGCCATACCCAGATCCTTTTTTTTTGAGTGGTTAACTGGGGATAATGGTTAATTGGGGATAAGAGTCTCATTGAGGACTGTCTTGCCCAGGCTGGCTTTGAACTGTGATCCTTAGATCTCAGCCTCAGGATTACAGGTGTGAGCCACCATAACCAGCTAATAAACAACTTTTTTGTTGTTGTTGATTGTGAGGCTTGAACTCAGGGCCTGAGTGCTGTCCCTGAGTCTCTGTGCTTAAGGCAAGCGCTCTACCACTTGAGCTACAGTGCCACTTCCCAAGATTCTCTTATGTGCTTGAATGTCACTGTTCAACGTTAACCACAAACTCTACATGCTCATCCTTTTTTTTTTTTTTTCCCGCCAGTCCTGGGGCTTGAACTCAGGGCCTGAGCACTGTCCCTGAGCTTCTTTGCTCAAGGCTTGAGCCATAGCACCACTTCTGGTTTTTTCTGTTTATATGGTACTGAGGAATTGAACCCAGTGCTTCATGCATGCTAGGCAAGCACTCTACTATTAAGCCACATTCCCAGCCATGTTCATCCTTTTTTCTTTTGCAACTGATCTGACCTCCACATACCAGTGTTTTCATAAGCAATTAAGAAAACATACTGCCAGTTAAACTCTGACAATGTAGGATGCACAATTTCAAGGATGTTAAAATGTGGAAAAAACTGTGCGTTATGTGAGCAATGAAATATCGATGAAATCATGATTTATTTGCCTCTCTGGTAAGATGTGAAACTCCCTAGATAACATCTACCCAAAAATATGCTAAAGAGAAAAATGTTAAGGCCTAGGGTGAGAAATGCGCCATTATACCCAACTGATAAACTCATGATGGAGAATTCTGAATGAATACCTTCTTTCCAGCATGGGTGTGCATGAGGCTTACTTCTGGCATTGTACCAAATCAGCTGCCGGCAGCCATCATACGCACAGGAGTATTCATCATCCCCAATGCCATACCCTTCCTGGAGAGAGACAAGGCCCAGAGGATGAGCAAGGTTCTGCCTGCTCTGACCTGGGAAGAGAGTGTATCATATGTAACTATTAACCTGGTGGCCGGACTTTAAACTTTTTGGATAAAGGAAAAGCCTTATGGTTCCTAGTAAATAGATTACAGCTTTATATACTGTATTGCTAAGTATCTCCTTTGTTTTAGGCATTTTCACATTTTTATTTCTCACTAAGCACCATAAGGCTGGTGGCTTACACCAAGGTGGAAGAGGTAACACAGGCACAGAGAGGTCCATCAACTTCACCTACAGACATGTTACATGAGAAGCAGAGGCAGGTGTGGACTTAAAAGTCTTGATGCCAACATCACTACTCTTTCTACCTCACTGTGGCCAGGCAAACACTTTCCTGCAAGTAGATTAAAAATATTCAAATGCTTATAGATTTTGAGACAGGTTAAAATGGCCCCCCTTTTAGAGGTTCCACCAGCTAAAAGCTACTTTAAGAGTAGCCCAATTTGAGTGTCATACAAGTCCTTGATAATTTTTCTTTAATTACACATTGCCTTTCAATTATCTCCTAGAATTATCAACACAGATTTATAAATAGGACCCTAATGAATTACTTTCAGTGCTTACAAAAAATAAGAATGTTCTGATATTTTGCTTATTCTATGGCCTAAACAATGAAGCCAGCCCCTTGTGGAAATGTAAACCACCCCCTGTCTGTATAGTCAAAAGCATTCAGAAAAGCCAGAACAATGTCTACTTGAAACAAAGTTGTAAGTATGGGGAAAAAAATCAATAAAATCCTGTTTGGGAAAAGGCAGATTTCATCAGTTTATAATAGGGACTCAATTAGTACTTGGATTAGAGAAATGCATTTGTTTGTTTTTAAAGAACGAAATCATCACAATATGAAGGGTAAGAAAAGTTCCTGCAATGGTATTCACTGGACACTATGTTGAAAATGAACTATATATAACTGGTGGGTGGGGATGGGAGGGAAAAACTGGGAGAGAGCATTTCAAAAAGAAATGTACTCTTTCCCTGACTTCTGTACTGTGACCCCTCTGTACATCACCTTTATAATAAGAATAAAAAAATTAAAAAAAATATCTAAGAGTAAGAAAGGAATCCAGAACACCAGTGGAGAGAGTAATTGTCAAGTGCTGGGGGAATACCTAACTCAGTGGTTACAAGAGTAAATGATTTTGTATGTGGGGTTAAAAAGCAGAATATGAGACATCAGGGCTGCTCTTGGTCAAAAATACATGAGTAAACCTCACTAAGCAGTTTCACTTACTCAAGCAATGGTCATGGGCTTGATCTTTAAATAGAACTAAAAGTGCTACCGAGGCCCATAGTGTAATAGTTAGACTAAAGGCAGATTTATAAACTAATGATGTGATCTGAGTCTAACTTGCATCTTAAATACTAATATAACATTTACAGGTCAAGAGGGTTACTTACAGAGTATTTTATTTTCTTTATCGAATCAATAAACAGAAACTGGAAATAAAAAGATAAATTAAGAAAAAAAAGAAACGCTCAACTTGAATCAAACATCTGCAACTATATGGCAGAAATCAGTCTCACTCAGCAGATGGAATGATTCAGCTTCACTGGCCACTAAAAACTATGTGTATAGAGGAAGCAAAGGAAGGGGTGATATTGTCCAAAAAAGAAATGTAATAATCACCTGACTCATGAAATGGTAACCCCTCTGTACAAGACCTTAATAATATCAAATTATATTAAAAATAAGTCCAGGGGCTGGGAAGGTGGTTCAGTGGTAGAGCGCTTGTCTTGCATGCATGAGGCCCTGGGTTTGATTCCTCAGTACCACATAAGCAAAAAGAAAAAAGTCGGAAGTGGCGCTGTGGCTCAAGTGGTAGAGTGCCAGCCTTGAGCTGAAGAGCTGAGGGACAGCACCCAGGCCCAGAGTTCAGGCCCCATGACCGCCCCCCCCCCCCAAAAAAAAAAAGTCCAAAAGATAAAACTCTATTATGTGTAACATTCATTGTCAGATGCCCTATGCCTAGAATTGTGCCTAGATTTCATATAGAAGCTGCCTTCATAGAAGAATCCATACTTGCTCTAGCTCTAGGATAACTTTTCAGTGCCAAATGTCTCACATTCTCCTCATGTTTGGGGGTTCGAAGAGGGTTTTGTGGGGAGGGAGGTTTTTTTTTTTCTTTTTCTTTTTTTGGTTGTGGGGCTTGAACTCTGGGCCTGGGCCCTGTTCCTGAGCTGTTCAGCTCAAGGATAGTGCTCTACCACTTGAGCCACAGCACCACTTCTAGTTTTCTGGTGGGTATTTGGAGATAAGAGTTTCATGGACTTTCCTGTCTAGGCAGGCTGTGAACTGCAATCCTTAGATCTCAGCCTCCTTGGTAGCTAGGATTATAGGCAAGAGCCACTGGTGTCCAGGCTGGGTGGGAATTTTTGAGACAGGGTTTCACAACGTAGCCAAGGCTGTCCTCAGGCTTGTGATCCTCCTGCCTCAGGGTCCTGTATGCTGGATGATAGGTATGTGCCACCAAGCTTGGAGGATTCTCCCCATATTTTGAGTACAAAGTAAATGACTGCTATAGACCTTGAATGGAACTGAATTCTAGTCCTATTTTCTTGTCTCAGTTTTCTCATCCGTAAAATGGAAATTGTAATATTGCACATGAGTATCAGTATGAATTCAGCATAAGATTTTTTTTTTTTTTGGTGCTGGTACTGGGGTGGGGCTGAACTCAGGGCCTCTCATGCTCTTGTTTAGCATTTTATTCAAGGCTAGCTCTCCACCATTCAAGCTACAATTCTAATTTGCAGCTTTTTGCTAGTTAATTTGAGAAAAGAGTCTCTTGGTCTGCTGCTTGGGTTTGCTTCACATCTCAAACCTCAGATCCCAACCTCCTGAACAGCTATGATTACAGGCATGAGCATCAGCTTCTGGAAATATGCATTTTTTAAAACTTAAAAAAATGGTCTTTTGGGCTGGGAAGGTGGCTCAGTGGTAGAGTGCTTGCCTCATATGCATGAGGCCCTGGGTTCAATTCCTCAGCATCACATAAGCAGAAAAAGCCGGAAGTGGCACTGTGGCTTAAGTGGTAGAGAGCTAGCCTTGAGCTGAAGAGCTGAAGGACGTGTTCAGGCCCAGAGTTCAGGTCCCACAACCGATCGCCCCCCCTCAAAAAAAAAAGGCCTTTTAAAAGGGGTAACAATGATCAACAAGTAATGCACTCATTGCCTTACTCATGTAAGTAACTGTAATCCCTCTGTATAGCATCTTTATAATAAAATTTTTAAAAATGACCTTTTAAAAGTCTTAAAAAATAAATCACCTCTAGGGACTTTATTTGGAGTAGGCAGTCAGTATAATTGGTAAACTAGTGCTGATGTTAGAAAACAGACACTGGAATTTTTCTTCAGACCCAGTTTCTTTTGACCCTTTGGAGGCTCAAAAAGGCCCAGACTTTCAAATGTCAATGTATGGCCTAGAAAGAGGGAGGGGAGCACTTTTGATGGGAAGTCTCAGCAGAAGAAATGGAAGACTGTGCTTTACTTTTCTACTTTTACCAGAGTTCAGACTTCACTTGTACATTAACCCTTTTATTCCAACATTTTTCTTTGTCTAGGAATTTCAGTAAAATGCCATGAACAATTTCAAGGCATAATAAAGGGCCCTTAAATATATTAATATTTATTATGTACAATATATTTATATATATATTCCCCTACCCTCCCACCCGCCCCAGTACTGGGGCTTGAACTCAGGGCCTGAGTGTCATCCTTGAGCTTCTTTGCTCAGTGTTAGTGCTCTACTACTTGAGTCACAGTGCCATTTCCAGCTTTTTCTGAGTAGTTTACTTGAGATAGAAGTTTCAAGGACTTTTCTGCTATGGCTGGCTTCGAACCATGATCCTCAGCTCTCAGCCTCCTGAGTAGCTAGGATTAAGGTGTGATGCCCAGCTTTAAAATATATTCTTATGGCTGGCAAGTTTAGAATGCTCTTATTGGATCACTTCTACAGCCAATCTCAGGATCTTACATACGGACTGGAGTATTATTTAGATTAATAAAACAATCAGGGTCTTTTCCTATCTCAAGGGATGAAAGTCATATGAATGCAAAATACTTAGTAGAAACTGATTTAATTTTAAGTAGCTTACAATTTGGCCAAAAGAATAGTCAGTTGGGCTGGGCTTTGGAAGACTATAACTTGGCCAAAAAAAACATGTATCTGCAGGATAGGGAGGAACTCTAGTGCTCTCCGGTTTAGTAGTAGCCTAGGACTGTGTAGTCTAATGGATTTATTAATCTTCCCTTTTGTATCATTGCTTTCTGTAAGAAAAGGTAAGCACTAAATTTTGACCATAAATGCATCTACGATTTATAAAGTAAAAGTCAAGTGAGAAAATTCAAGTCAACACTTAGTATTGTATGAAAGGAAGAGAATTCCTTCAAGATTTCTCAAAGGAATTCCTACAAGATTCTCAAAGGTTAATCTCATTGTAAAAAGTCATCCTGACTCAATATAAAAACTAAGCCAAAAATATGGTTGGTTGGGGCCATAACACAGCCTACAAAGATAAAGGCCCACCCAACCCCTAGTTGGACAATTAGATGAACTTTAAAACTCAAGGGAAAAACCCACAAAACAAAAACCACAGAAGAAAAAAATGGCAGAGGGGCAATTTCGCTTGTGTTTTCCCATTTTTCAATCACTTTAGCAAACCACTGTTAGGAATCGGGCACTAGATAGTTACTGAGCAAACTTGTTCAAAAAGTGTGTGGCCCTCTTCTGCCCATCCACCAGAACTGCTGAGCAGAACTGCTGTTGCTTCCTCTGCATGGCTCCATGGTACTCACATGATTGAGAAATTTGCTGTCTCTAGTGGCCCAGCCAATCTGCATGACACCAGAGGTGACCACAGTTACTTCATAGTACCATACTCCAGCATCTACACAAAACGTGCAGCGCACACTTTCAAAAGAGGAGGCATCACAGCGAGCCTGGAAAAATAAAAAAGTACAATAATCTACCATTAGTGCCTGGAAACCACCAAGTAAGTGAGACTGGCAGAGCTGAGTGTAATTTTCCTTGTTAAACTCTAGCCCATCCTCAGTGACAAAAAGTATAAAAGCAAATGAAACACACTGTACATATTTCCTAGTTTAACTTCCAGGGAGATCTCATAAGATTGGCACTAATCTTACAAGACCTTGAAGATGGCTGCAATAAGAAAGGCTTTTGGCTTCATTTTTCAGTACTTAAAAAGCTTTGCTTTCAGACTAAAACCTTTTACAAGTGCATAAATCTTCACCTGGCAAGGGGAGAGAAAGGCATAAAACAGGGTACTGAAGTATAACCTAAGAAAGAAAATAACACAAAAGATTGGGCAATATATAGAAGAACTGTAGCCATCATCCATCTAATTCTTTGCTTCTGACATGCCTAGATGACTGGCACCTTCTTGTACATAAGCAACCTTAACACTAACCTTCACACCAACATGGGTAGCATTCGCTACACAAGGAGAAAAGAAAGCTAGGCCCTCTGACAACTGGCTGTAGGGTTATTTAAAAAGAAGGGGCTTCTGTTTGAAACAGCAGTCTTTGGACCTTTGGTTGAGCAATGGCCAAGATGAAAAGCAGAAACTTGAACCAGTCAGGCAGTATGACAATGCCTATAGCAGGGTAGCAGCATGTGTGACATTACAGAGTAGATGAGCCAGGAGCTGGTGGCTCACGCTTGTAATCCTAGCTATTCAGGAGGTTGAAATCTAAGGATCGTGGTTAGAAGCCAGCCTGTGCAGGTAAGTCCATGAGACTCTTATTTCCAATGAACTTCCAAAAAAGCCAGAAGTGGAGCTATGGCTCAAGTGGTAGAGTGCTATCATTTGAGCATAAAAGCTCAGGGACAATGCCCAGGCCTTGAGTTCAAGCCCCCAAAAGACAAAAACCCCAAAACCAGATTAGATAATGCTCTATAATAACACTAGCTCATATCTTCTGCTCTTAACTACCCTCCAGCTAGAAAATAAACTTCCACCTGTTCTGCAACCCATTTTGCTTTTGTTCAGAAGTAGGGCATGAAAATGGGAACAAAATGATTTTATTCCCTGGAGTCCCTCTGTGAGAACTTTACCTCCAAGCCATGAGGTGAGATCTTCAGGTACTCGCTGACATCATTGCTATTCAGCATGGCCCTAATGCTACTCAAATCCACTTTCTCATAAGTCAGTTGTCTACCTTCTTTTAAAACTGCAAAAGAAAAAAAGTGGTCATGTTTCCTAGACAGGCTGCTATGGGAAGAAAACGAAAGCTACTGTCAACTGCCACCTCCATCTACCACTAGTATCAAGGAGCAGAGAGAATCAGTGGTGAGCTTAGCGCCTTATATGTGCTGCTACACTATCACATGAAGGCGACAAGCAATTCCAGGTAAGGAAGCCCTGGGGAAGCTCATGCTTTCATTCCTTGTATCTATTATTTTGCATAAAACAACATTCACATTGCACTATTTCAGAAGTCTTAACCGTCTTAATTATCACTATACTGAACTCACAATGATGAGGCAGAGGAGGGAAGTTTCACATCCAACAGTGCATTAGCCCAGTGCTAGCAGTGAGGAGTGAAGAACAACTGTTACAGTGTAAGACATGACTAGGGTTTAAAGTACAAAGCTGAGAGGGGGGAGGGAAGTAAAACGAACAAAGTCCAAGTGCAAGGAACAGGTCCAGAGGCAGAAGTCACTGGGGTTTGCTTTCAAGGAGGTGAGGAGACAGTATGCATTGGAGAGTTGGTTACTTAGAGCCGTATGACTAATGAACCTCACTGCAGTAGGAAATGAGAAAATAAGGTTTAACATTCCTGTAATTCTTATCTGAAGGGTCTCTTATAAAGGGCTCACATCCACTACTATGAAAGAAAGGCCAGTGAACCTATCAAAGAAATAGATTTAGAAATAAAAGCACATTTTAATGAAGGACAACTTCTACTTACAGAGATTGTCTAAACTCCACTGGGCACAGAAGCCAACTTGACGTTTCAGATAATCAGGTTCATAAGCCCAGGACTCTAATGTGACAAGCCGGTCGCTAATACTGGATTCGGAGATAGTCAATTTATTTTCACCTGTTGAGAAAGATGCAATTGTTGAATTACCCATAAAAGAGTGGAATGATTTGCTGGGTGAATTAGTGGCAATAGGAAGTGATGAAAACCAATTGGAAAAGTAGAAGCCATAATGGACTTCTACTAAAGCTTCCAGGGATGACACAGCCAAAAAGCCCTGAGTACATTCTGGCGATCTCTCCTCTCTAAATGCTTAGTGACTTAGGTGGGAAAAACCCTTGCCTTTGTCCCTGTTGCACTTCACTGGCATTGAAGTGTCTATCCAGGCAAAAACAGCGTGTACCACAACTGCTAGGATGTAAAGCGTACGCTCATTCAATAACTCAGAAAAGTAAGATTTTTACATCATAGAAGGTCGTTAATGCAGAGAAGTCACTATACCTACTTGTCTGTGCAAACTTTTCCAGTGCGATAAGTGCAAAAAGCATGACAGTGGGGTGGGACTGTAACTTCTGAAAGACAACACAAGACAGAAACAAGTTATTTCCAGGCAGAGGCAGCAAGTTATCAGTTCCTTCTTCTTGCTCAATATGTGGTAGATATATGTGTATATATATATATATATATATATATATATATATATATACACACACACACACACACATATATTTTAGCAGTCAGAAAAACTTCACTCATTCAAGTCCTTTATTGTCCATTTGGCTAATAGTGTTTGTAATGAAGAACTATGATAAGAATCTCGTAATCTATTTTTTTTCAAGTCACTGGGGTTATCTATAAATATGAAAATTTCAACTGTATGTATCATTAAGTATATTATATCATTTTACCTAGCAAAATTTGTATTAGGGCTTTGTTAAATAAAATTATTTTTTATTATCATATTCTTTAAAAGCAAGTGATCTTTTATTCAGAATAAGAACACCAGGTTCCAGAACTACAAATAATGAAATTAACAACTGTTTTTAACCTGGTCTCTGAAAGGATTCCTACAAATGCTGCTAACAGAGGAGAGAGCAACAAGTGTGCTGTTCATACATGTGAGTCCATATCCTGTAAGCTTGCACTTAAAGAAAGGTCTACCTGTTTTCTTGTTTTTATTTTTGTTTTTTGCTGGTCCTGGATCTTGAACTCAGGGTCTGGGCTCTGTCCCTGAGCCTCTCTATGGTCAAGGTTTGAGCTCTACCACTTGAGCCACAGCACCATTTCTGGCTTTTTCTGTTTATGTGGTACTGAGGGATCAAACCCAGGGCTTCATGCATGCTAGGCCAGCACTCGACCACTAAAGCTACATTCCCAGCCCATAGTCTACCTGTTTAACATCCTATCTTCTTATAGCCATCCTTCCCCACAGCTGTGCTGTGAGCCTCCAAAGTGCTCTAGAACACCAGAGAATGCCCATTTATTTTTCCAGTGCCCACCTCAGCAGGGAAAAGCTCATATAGCCACCATCCTGCTCTGCCACAAAGCTACGCCATTCTTGTCTTCCTGTCTCTGGGCTTCTACTTGTGGGCCAAGAACTCATTGTGTCTTCTGGGAAGAATCAAGTCCTAACTTTATGGCATGGCCCAGCTGAGGCTCATCTTCATTGAGATGTGTGTCTCACCCTTCATATGCCATCCGCCTTATTTTCTTGAATTTTTATGGCACTTAAGAAGAAGTTTGTCCTTGATCACATCCTGTCTTAAGATGGAGGCTCTGTTGTCTGAGCAGTTCTGTCCATTAACTTACTAGGAAAACTCCTTGAAGGGAAAACCATGAGTTGCCACTCCTGTTTCTTCAGTGTTTACTCAAAGCAGCAGTGTAAGGGTACTCTTAAGCAATATCATGTAGGCACTAACAAATAAGGTCTTTAACACTGGAGTTTTGAAAAAGGCCAAAATTTACTGTGAAAGTAACTAAATCTATCTATCTATCTATCTATCTATCTATCTATCTATCTATCTATCCATATATCTATATATATCTATATATATACACACATACACCACTCTGTATAACTACTTAAAGATAATTTTGAAAAATGAGAAAAAAATATAGACCAGTCAAGACTAAAGTTCATCATGATGAGGAATCTGAAGGCATACACAGCCTCACTAAACAACAAGCTTCACAAACGATATACAAAATACTCAGAAAATAGAAGCTTTAAGAACAGTAATAGAGAGGGAAAGGGGACAGGCCTAGAGATTTATATATACTAGGATCCTGGCCTGATGTTGGAATGCCACACAGTTTTGTTCCCATTGAAGAAGTCCCTATTACCACATCGGAGACTATACAGACACACAAGTTAATAATGGCAGCTATCTTATGGCTAAATTTAAAACCAACCCAGGTGCTGTGGCTCATGCCTGTAATCCTAGCTACTTAGGAGGCTAAGATCTGAGGATTATGGTTCCAAGCCAATATTGGCAGAAAAGTCATGAGATTCTTATCTTCAATTAACCACCCAAAAACCAGAAGCAGAGCTGTCGCTCAAGTGGCAGGCTGCTAGTGTTGAGCACAAATAGACTCAGGGACAGTGCTCAGACCCTGGATTCAAGCCCCACAACCGACTAAAAATAACTAATTTAAAACCTAACAAATTCAGATATTTTTGCTTATAATAATTTGCATCCCAGTTTTGGTTGTTATTATTGTTGTTAAAGATAAAGGAGCCAGGTACAGGTGGCTTATACCTAGCTACTCAGGAGCTATTCACAGGAAAGTCTGCGAAACTCTTATTTCCAATTAACCACCAGAAAGCTGAAAGTGGAGCTGTGGCTCAAAGTGGTAGAGCGCTAGCCTTGAGCAAAAAAGCTCAAGGACAGTGCCCAGGTCCTGAGGAGTTCAAGCCTTATGGCTGATGAGAGAAAAAAAAAAAAAAAGGATGTGGGCTGGGATATAGTCCAAGGTAAAGTCCTTGCCTGGAGCACATAAGGCCCTTGGGTTCAATCCTCAATACCATAAAACAACAACCACCACCACCCTAAAAACAAAAACAAAAACAAAAACAAAAAAAAAAACCAGGACAGAGTAAGTAAACAAATAAAATATAGACCTGATTCTACTTTCTGTGCCAAGAACTATACTGGGAAATTGAGAAAAACAAACAATTCTACATGACTAAGAATAACTAGCCACTTACCAGACACTGCAGCAAATATTCCAGTATTCCTGGGCTAAGTAAACCTATACTTGCAGGACCTAGACAAATACAAGAGACACTGGATATAATTAAGAGTACCATGTTATTTTTAATTGATAACTAATGACAAATTGCTAGTAGAACTCTGAATGCTTTACAAAGTGCTCCATGCATATTCTCTTCCTCAAGCCTCCTATTCTTATTCTTCTTCCTTTTTTTTTTTGGTTGGTGGTGGGGCTTGAATTCTGGGCCTTGGCTCTGTCCCTGAGCTCTTCAGCTTAAGGAGAGTGCTCTACCAATTGAGCCACAGCACCACTTCTGGTTTTCTGGTGGTTAATTGGAGATGAGTCTCATGGACTTTCCTGCTGGGGCTGGCTTTGAACCAGCCTCTTAAGTAGCTATGATTACAGGTGTGAGCCACTGGCACCTGGCTGAGCCTCCTATTCTATGTGTGGTTATAGTTACCATGTTCATGGCACAGCTGAACAACTGAGCCAGAGTGCAGAGATCAACCCAAAGGCACTGAGGCCCATGCCAGAGTAGAAACTAGCACCCATGTTCTGATTTCTAATCACTCTGCCAGTGTACTTGAAGGAATTAGCTGAGCTATTTATGTGAAGCTTTTGTTGTTAAAATTTCTAAAATGAGTAACATTCATAGATAAGTCAAATAACTCTGTCTCAGGAACTGTTCCAATTTAAAGTCCTTTCTGTTAGGCATCGGTGGCTCATACCTGCAACCCTAGCTACTTAAGAGGAGTAGCTAGGATTTGAGGAACATGGTTCAAAGCCAGCCTAGACAGGAGAATCCATGAGACTCTTATCTCCAGTTACAAAAAGCTAGAAGTAGATTTGTGGCTCAAGTGGTAGAGTGCTAGCTTTGAGCACAAAAGCTCAGGGACAATGCCTGGGTACAGAGTTTAAGTTCCAGGAATGGCAAAATAAAAACAATAAAAATAATATAAAGTCTTTTTCTTTTCCCCTGTTGTCTGGTAAGTGTTCATTATCTAGGTACATTTTATACAATGTATGTCACATGTTATTATATCCATGTGTAATTGTTGTTACACTGAATTTAGCTTTTATCTCATCATCATCATTACTATCAGTTAGGGTTTTGTTTTTTTGGTTTTTTTTGACAGAGTGTCTTACTATGTAGCCCAAGCTGATCCTCTTGCCTCTACCTCCCAGGTCCTGGAATTACAGACCCTTATCATTACACCAAGCTTTCCTTTAATTTTAAAGAAAGTAAATACAATTTTTACCTTTTAAATTCCTCTGAAAAGTAACAAAATTAAATTAGATCACATTTAATTCTGTATCCTTTCATTATTTTCCTTATTAGTCCTTTCCTTCCTTCTTTTTTCACCAGTAGGTTTGATGACAAGTTCACACTTCAGGTTTCCCCTCAATGTCAGACTAAGGGTCTTTCTCCACAGCATTTCCTAGACTTACCTGCTAGTTTTTCGGCCAAGCAGCCTAGGACTGCAGATGTGTTCCTATGTTTGGCAGGATGGCCTGAGTCCTGGCAAGCTACTTCTCCATTTAAATTAAGAATTTCAGTCAATTTCTGGAGTGCATCCTAAAAACAAAAATGTACAAGTATTTTCCTAAGAGAATTCTTTGAGGACAAAGTTAAAGCCAGATATTAAATAAGCTCAGATTGTACATAATAACCCTAATATCCTTATTCATGAGAAATATTATTTGATCAGCCTGAAAGTTTTCTCATACAAGCTGCTAGATTCCATTTCATTCCAAATACATGATACTTAATCTTGAATCATTATGCTAACTAAACCCACTCAAATATGCTTAATAGTATTAGGCCCTAGTAATACTCAAGTAAAAAGTTACTTTTTAAAGTTTTACCAAGTTAGAACAAATCCCACCAGAGTTTTTGCTTGTACTGGTGCTTGAACTCTGGGTCTTTGAGCTCTTGCTTAGCTTTTTCCAATTAAGGTTAGTGCTCTACCACTTGGGCCACATCTCTACTTCCAGCACTTTGATGGTTATTTGGAGATAAGAGTCGCTTAAGATTTGCCTAGCAGGCTGATTTCAAACCAAGATACTCAGATCTCAATCCCCTGAGTAACTGGGATTACAGGCATGACCACTGGTGCCCAACCACTATAGTTTTTGAGGTAAATTAAAATGGAAACAGCTTATAAGCTTAGGTATAAATATTAATCAAACATCAATGACTAGTTTAAAGACTTCCATTCTATCCATAACACTTTTACTGCACAGGACCCGAATGTCTGAGGCTTAAGCAGACAAATGAAAGATACTAGAATTAAAAAAAAAAAATAGGTAAAACATATGATTTTTGTTCTAAGGTAGGAATAATCACTATAAAATCTGTAATGTTTGAGGAAGACTCTGAAGTGCTTTTTGCATAAGACTATTCTGTTTTATTTTATTTTATTTTTTGTCGGTCGTGGGGCTTGAACTCTGGGCCTGGGCACTGTCCCTCAGCTCTTCAGCTCAAGGCGAGTGCTCTACCACTTGAGCTACAGCGCCACTTCCGGTTTTCTGGTGGTTTATTGGAGATAGGAGTCTCACGGTCTCTCCTGCCCAGGCTGGCTTTGAACCGCGATCCTCAGATCTCAGCCTCCTGAGTAGCTAGGATTACAGGCATGAGCCACCAGCGCCTGGCTGACTATTCTGTTTTAATAGAAAGCCTTTGTCCTTTGTTCTGAGGAAATTGGTTAGAAAAAGATAAGAAAATCAGCTTAGTAACTGAACATTCTCTTCTAGTTTCCAGATTGTCACTGTAGATAGAAATACTTTTACTTTTAACAGTTGGAAAACATTAAACTAAAACCTTAATAGTATACTATTATAGACTAGGTAGCACATCATTAGTAATAAAACTTTTCAACATGAAATCATTAGTGAATAAAACATCTCAAACATATATAATGTATTATATCAATTTTTTATGGTTATTCATCCTGTGAAAAGATGACAGCATTATACAAGATCAGTATTTACTTACTTTAGTGGGCAATGGACATTCATCTAGTAACAATGTTATAACAGCTGGTCCCAATGGATCTTCTAATGGTATTACTCTAATTAAAGATTGGACAACGTCCAACCATCCTTCATCTAAAGGCAAACCAAGAAGATTATGTAATGGACTACCTTGAAAAAGTGAAAATATGCAAATAAAAGTCACATAAGGGGGCTTCATGTTAGCATGAATTTGGCCTTTACTGTATAACTTTTTTGGCGGGGGGGTCAGTCCTGGGGCTTGAACTTTGGGCCTGGGTGCTGTCCCTGAGTTCTTCAGCTCAAGTCTAGTGCTCTACCACTTGAGCCATGGTGCCACTTTGGTTTTCTGGTGGTTAATTGGAGATAAGAGTCTCATGGACTTTCCTGTCCAGACTGGCTTCAAACCATGATCCTCAGATTGCAGCCTCCTGTGTAGCTAGGATTACAGGCATGAGCCACTGGCAGCCAGCCACACTGTGTAACTTTTAAAAAGCTAATTAATACCTTTCATGGACATAATCACCTATTGTTAACTGTTAAAAATCTAGTTTCATGTGTCTATAAATTCAGTTACATTTTTTTTTTTTTTTTTTGGTCCGGTCGTGGGGTCTGAACTCTGGGCCTGGGCACTGTCCCTCAGCTCTTCACCTCAAGGCTAGCACTCTACCACTTGAGCCACAGCGCCACTTCTGCTTTTTTTCTTCTTGCTTATGTGGTGCTGAGGAATCGAACCCAGGGCCTCATGCATGCAAGGCAAGCGCTCTATCACTGAGCCACCTTCCCAGCCTCCAGTTACATTTTTTTTAATGTTGGTTCTGAGACTTGAACTAATGGACTGGGTACTTTCTCTGAGCTTTTTTGCTCAAGACTACCACTTCAGCTATACCTCCATTCCAGCTTTTTGATGGTTAATTGCAGACAAGAATCTCATGGAGGTTCCTGTCTGGGCTGGATGAACACTGATATTCAGACGTCAGCCTCCTGGGTAGCTAGAATTACAGTCATGAATCACTGATGTCTGGTTCAGGGACATTTTTTTTTTTTTTTCAAATTCTCATTATTTATTTTTTTTTAATCTATTTTTTTTAATTTTTTTTTTTTTGTGAACATACTGTACAGAGGGGTTACAATTACATGGGCAGGATATCAGGGACATTTTTATATGGAGAAAATTTAAGCTATAGTTTTTGGTTTTCAAATCCTGATTTAATAGTAAGAGAGCTGGATACCAGCTGGATATTCAGGAGACTGATATTAGGAGGATCAGTATGAAGCCAGCCCAGAGACTTCATATTCAAATGACCAGGAAAAAGCTGGTCTGGAGGTACGGCTCAAATAGTAAAGTGCTAGCTGAGAAAGCAACCAAGCAAGACAATAAGGGTGTGAGCTCAAACTTTGGTACCAGCAAAAAACAAACACTTTCCATCATGTAGGACTTATTTGGGAAAAGTAAATATTACTAGCAGTTGGCTCTATTTTTTAAATTACACTTAGGAAATAAGTAAATATTACTAGCAGTTGGCTCTATTTTTTAAATTACACTTAGGAAATTGAGGAATAAAGTTTATCTTCCCATTCTAGAAGTTATGACCAAAGATTTATCAATGCCAAAAAGACTTTCTTTTCTTTCATAATGTCAAATAAGATAAAATAACCACAGAGAAATGCAACTGATATAATATATGGTGCCTATTACACTTTTACTGGGAAATCTCCATACTCCAGGGCATTTTCCTGTGAACATTTAAACATTTTTTATTTTACGAAAGTGGCTATATTTCTTTATTATTAATTAAAATCAGATCATATTGAAAACAAAAATTACCTGTTTCTGCCATTTCATGTAATGTAATCATTGAATAGGGAGGTTCCTGATCACTGGAAAATAAACATTTGAGGAATTAAAGAAGGCAATAAGGTGAAATTCCAAATGCAAATTCTAACTGGAACTGTGGGATGGGAAAGAAAGAAGAAATGACCATGAGCAAATGTAGAGAAAGCAATAGAAGAATGAAGCGGAGCTGGAGGCTCTAAGGACAAATGTATACTATATCCTTGACCCTCATTTCCACTGATACTATCCATGATAGCATCTAAATGAGCAGATAGACACACAAGAAACTATGTGGCCTGAGGGAAAAACACTAAAACTGGAGACCAAAGTCTGCTCTAGGTTTACCTCTAAAGGCCCAAGACCACCTGACCTGTAGCAGGAAGACTAACAGCATCTTCCCCACTTACCTGGAAGAAATGCAGGATAAGAGATGGCAATGAGCCGGGAGCCAGTGGCTCACACCTGTAATCCTAGTTACTCAGGAGGCTGAGATCTGAGGATCGCGGTTCAAAGCCAGCCTGGGCAGGAACATCTTGTGACTCTTATCTCCAATAAACCACTAGAAAACCGGAAGTGGCACTGTGGCTCAAGCAGTAGAGCGCTTGCCTTGAGCTGAAGAGGGCAGGGTCAGTGCCCAGGCCCAGAGTTCAAGCCCCACAACCACCAAAAAAAAAAAAAGAGAGAGAAAGAGAGAGAGATGGCAACGAAGGGTTTGGAAGCAAGGGCTTACAGAAACAGCTTCACTTGAGAGTCCTCTGGGAAATATTACTGCATGTTTAAACTTCATACAATGGTATTATAAAAAGAAGCCAAATGTAACTGAGAACTATTTAGTATCCCAGACACTGTTCTAAATGGCATTTTGTGTGTGTGTGTGGTGTGTGTGTGTGGTGTGTGTGTGTGTATATAAGATCTATCTATCTCTATACATATATATGCATGGGGTTGCACACTGCAATCCCAGACATCCTCAGGAAGTACTTTAGGAGAACTTCAATGCTGAAATATTTGTCATTGAACAACGATAATTTCTTTGTTTACATATTTTAGATCTCTTTTTCCCTGTCTTGAAAAACACCGTAACAAAGTGGCGCTGTAGCTCAAGTGGTAGAGCGCTCGCCTTGAGTTGAAGAGCTGAGGGACAACGCCCATGCCCAGAGTTCAAGCCCCACGACCACCAAAAAAAAAAAAAAAAAAGAAAAACACCGTAACATTGTTATAAATCATGTAATCCTCAGAGCAATCTTGTAAGGTAGAAATTACTATGTCCATCCCAGGTTCTCATTAGGTGAGTTTGCATATCTTGGATACTTCATAATAAGGGAAGATTTGTATGTAAAAAGAATTTGTATGTGAGTATGGTGGTGAATGCCTATAATCTAGCAATCAGGAGGTAGAGGCAAGAGGATTGTTGAGATCAAGGCCAGCATAGGTTACATAGAGAGACCCTGTCCAAAAAAAAAAAAAATAGAATTTTAAAGAAATAACCAACTGTTACAAACATTTCTAGGGAATAATCTGACAACTGGGTATAATCTATCTAATAATTATAGAGAAAATAATTAGAGAAAAACAGCACAAGGATTTGTGTTATTTACTAGAGTTATTTGTTGGAACAAAAATTTAGCAGTGACCTAAGTAGTTAAGATGAAAATAACTAATGCGGCATAGCAGTATGAAGCAGTTGTACTTTTACACACAGCAATAAAGGTTTCAATACATATATATATATATATATGCATATATATATATATATATATATATATATATATATATATATATATATGGTTTACATTTTTTTGAGACAGGTACTTGTTGTATAACTCATACTGGCCTGTAACTTGTGATCCTCCAGCCTCTTATATATATATATATATATTTTATCACAGGGCTTGAACTCAGGGCCTGGGTGCTGTCTCTGAGCATTTTCATTCAAGGCTAGTGATCTACCACTTTGAGCCACAGCAACACTTCTGGTTTTCTGGTGGTTAATTGTAGTCTCATGGACATTCTTACCCAGGCTGAATTCGAATTGTGATCCTCAAATCTCAGCCTCCTGAGTAGCTAGAATTACAGGCATGAGCCACCAGAACCCGGCTTCTGTTATAGAAAAAATTTAAAGCACACACACAACTCTTATAGGAATAGTTTTCCTATAAACATCTAAAGACAGTGTCTAAACTCATTAGAATGGTGACTGAGTGATAACTGGAGGTGTGTAGGAGAGAATGGGATTAAGGAGAAAAATGATAAAATACAACTGATAAGGAATGGGAGTACTTCAGTTCTATAGCAGCCCTTAATGAAAACATATACACACATGATGAATAGGATTGGGCAGACATGCAAAATGATGCTGGGGCATGGTTCCCCTCTCAGAGAAAGGAGCTGGAAAAACTACGAATGATAACCTGTATTACAAGTGGTATGAGGCACAAATTTCCAGGGTCAAAAAAAGGCAAAGAAACTATGCACATAGAACTGAGCTTTTTACAGTGGGTTGGGAGCTTAGAAGCAGTCAATTATAAGGTTACTCAGAGGTGGAGGGAGTGCATCGGCTCCTTCAAGTGAGCACAGCATGTAGATACACATAACTAGTGAGAAAAACAATTCAAATCTATCATGAGTAGTCTGTCTGGAGCAAGGGGTGTGGTGTATTTAAATAGTAGACCACCTGCCTGGTAAGTTTAAGAACCTGAGCTCAAACCACAGTACTGTAATAAGTTTCGATATCAGCATAGGTAACACATTTAGGTGTACTTTGTCTGAACTCACCTGCTTTATCTTTCATATCCTGTCTTAATAGCTCTATAAATTTAATAGATTAAATCTAATTAAATTAAGATTAAATTAAATTAATAGATTAAGTCATTTTCCTGTAATAGTCTAAAAAATAAGCTGTACATCCATGTTTATGAATTCGATTTTGTCATTATTTTCTCCATGTCCCCTTTCTATTTGTTCTTTATCTGCCTAATTTCTTCCATCCTTGTAGGGGTGATTCCTATCATGCAGTAAAACCAAAACCAAAACCATAGCTGTTACTTAGCTCCTAGAAGTGAATTATGGGCTTTGAAAACAAGGCGACTTATAATTTGTGGTATCTTCCTGGGAGCTGGGATAAGGCTCTTAGCTTGCTCCTATTTACCTTAATCATTCTCTTTGAAAATTTGGCAAAATCTGTTCTGCACCTGTTTATCCAATGGGCTTAAATTAACATTGTATGTGGGTTTCCTTCCTTGCTTGGGAAGGATACCTTTTCACTACAGTTTTACAGTATTAGAGAAACTTTTTTCTACACATATTATTCTTGAAGACCAGTGAATAATCAGCATTTTGTGGGAGCATTTAACATAGTTCTAAGGATTTGTTCATACATGCAGGTATACACTATTTTATGTTAGAATTTTTTTTTTTTTTTTTTTGGTTGGTCATGAGACTTGAACTCTGGGCTTGGGCACTGTCCCTGAGTGCTTCAGCTCAAGCCAAGTGCTCTACCACTTGAGCCACAGTACCACTTCCAGTTTTCTCATAGTTAAATGGAGATAAGTCTCACGGACTTTCTTGCTGGGGCTGGCTTTGAACCGTGATCCTCAGATCTCAACCTCCTGAGTAGCTAGGATTATAGGATTACAGGCGTGAGCCCTTGGCATCTGGCCTTATGTTAGAATTTTTGAAGAACAAACTTTTTTTTTTTTTTTGGTTCAGTCGTGGGGCCTGAACTCTGGGCCTGGGCGCTGTGCCTCAGCTCTTCAGCTCAAGGCTAGTGCTCTACCACTTGAGCCACAGTGCCACTCCCGGCTTTTTTTTTTCCTGCTTATGTGGTGCTGAGGAATCGAACCCAGGGCCTCATGCATGCAAGACAAGTGCTCTACCACTAAGTTACCTTCCCAGCCCAGAAAAACAAACTTTTGTTAGTATGATTATCAAATCATCTGAAATTTACTAGCAAGGTCTAAACCAAAATTAATCCAGAAATAACTTTTAAAAAATGTACTGCTATCTCTTGAGTAACTATTGTACACCATTATCTCACTGTAGTTCCCTTATGAAAAGCATCATTTCCATTTTACAGAAGAGGGCTCTGAGGGCTAAGAAGTTCTTCCCAATGTCATATAGCTAGTAAGTACAGGCCCAGTGGTGAACTCAGGTCCATGATGGTCCTAAAATTTATGCCCTTACTTTCCAAACAAACTTAAGTTAATCTGTTTTTTCAACTTGAATAATGCCCTTTAATTTCACTGTTATTCAATCTGAGATTTACTTTTCCTGAGTTACACAAACCAGGGGAGAGACAACACAAGTTCAGGTATGCCCTGTGGTTTCAATTTACAAGTGCCCGCAATGGATCTAAGAGGCCAAATAAATATTAAAGCAGAGTTGGGAGCAAGGGGCTCATGCCTGTAATCTTCACTACTTGGGAGACTGATACTGGAAGAATGGTCGTACCAGGCTAGCCCAGGCAGAAAGGATCACAGGATTCCATTTCAACAGCAGAATCTGAGCCTGTGATGACAGATATCTGATGACAGATATGACACATATCTGTCATCCCAGTTATACTGGAAGTCTAAAATAGGTGGATCACAGCCCAAATTTGTCCAAGGCAGGAATTGAGACCCTATCTCAAAAATAACCAGTGTCAAAAATGAGCAGGTGTGGCTTATCCGTAAGTCCCTGAGTTCAAACTTACCATCTGAAAACAAACAACGAAAAACAAATACTAAAACAGGAGAACAGGGTGTGGTGGGGGCAGGCATGGGAGGGGGAGAAGAAAAAGTTTCCTGACCCTTGGTGCATAACTGTCAACAAAAGCTGCATCTAAACATGCCCTTGGTAAGACAATTCATGATGACTGCCCATGTAATAGGCAGACATAAAACTATTTCCCATTGTAGCTGGCATCACAACCACTCTGTATTTACTAAATTCCCTACTAGAGATGGTTTTACTTGGCATTTTCTGCTACCAAAATGTTTTGACATTTGTACACAGTAGTAGGTGGTAGAAGGGAAAACATCAAATCTTATCATTTACTCTGTCACCACAGGGAAGAAATATTCTCCTTTGGACTATGAGCACAAGGTTTGACGAATACATCCTGAATGAACTGGAGAAGTCCAGAAGTTGAGGCTCCTAGCAGAACATTTCCGGTACACTGGAGGCGGCACTGAATCAGCAGATACTTACTTGTCAACTAGAGTCCGTATAACCGCCAATGTGTCCAGCACTAGGCCATCCACATTCTGTTTCTTTCGCCTTGGCTCATGGGGTCCTCGGCCCCTCCTAGGAGGCCGAACAGGGTCTCTAGGTTGGCTCCTCGTGTCAGCAGTGGGGACTGCACTGTTCTCGGCCTGCTGCTGGTGGGTGTCAACACTGTCTTCTGCTCCACTGTCATCACGGCAGATACAGGAATTGCCCATGGTAGTAGTGGCACCTATAGTCCCCAATAGGTGGGCTATGTGCTCCTCAAAAGTCAACAGCAGACCCTGGCCAAGGCTTCTGCTCGCTAAGAACACGGCCCAACCAAAGACAATCATTTAGATAGTTTTCAGTTTTCCAAGTACTGTTTTCATAATCTGGAGTTGAGGAACTTGCATTCTATTCGTGTTTAAAAACTGAATTCCAAAGAAAGCTGCAGAGTTGTTCTTCAACATTATCAGCTACAGGGAATGCTGGTCATCCACTGGGAATTCTGTAAGAAAGGGAAGAAAAGAAAAATGAATAGAAGATTCTTGGCCACGCAATTATACAAACTTTCCTAGTTTTGCTTATAGGTCTTCAGATTACAACTAAGAATCATCTTTGGTTGCTTTATAGGTTTCCAACCTGAAGAGCTATTTTTGGATTACAGTATGACTGACTAACCAACCAATTCCTTTCTTTTTTTTTTGGTCGGTCGTGGGGCTTGAACTCTGCGCCTGGGTGCTGTCCCTGCGCTCTTCAGCTCAAGGCAACACTCTACCGCTTGAGCCACAGTGTCATTTCCGGTCTTCTAGTGGTTTATTGGAGATAAGAGTCTCATGGACTTTGCTGCCCGGGCTCGCTTTGAACCGGGCTGGCTTTGAACCACGATCCTCAGATCTCAGCCTCCTGAATAGCTAGGATTACAGGCATGCGCCATCGGCGCCAGGCCAACCAGTTCCTTTTAATCACTATATTATAAAGTTGACTGCTAGGGCTGATAATGTACCTTGTTGCAGAGTGCTTGCCTAGCATGCAAGAAGCCCTGGGTTTGATTACTCAGTACCAGAAAAAACTGGAAGTGGTGCTGTGGCTCCAGTGGTATAGTGCAAGCCTTGAGCACAGAAAGATTCAGGGACAGAGTCCAGGCCCTGAGTTCAAGCCCCAAGACTGGAAAAATAAATAAATAAATAAATGTGACTGCTAAACCATGTCCTTGTAAACCAATCAGGAGTTCCAATCAGTGCTTATAAACACGAGCAAATGTTGTAGTGATGTATCTTCCTATCTGTACAGAAACACAAGCCTCAAAGGAGGCTTATCCAAGAATTTACAGAAATCATCCAATTGTTACAAAGTTTTCCTGTAGGGACACAAGACACTGGGAAACACAAATTCTTATCACAAAGCTTCATTCTCATGATGATCAGTTTGCTGCACAGCATGTCTGTGACTGCTACAAGAATAAGATGCAACCATTATTTTTGTCTAAAAATACTAAGAACTATGTGCAAAACACCAGGCAGGGAGCAGAAGAACAAAGACAACGAAGGCACAGTTCCCTGCCCTCTGAATTCATGTGGGGCTATTCTCATCCCATATAGTCACTTACCCTAAACCCACTGAGCTAGGAAAATTGGCTTAAGTCTGGAAAGATGGAAAGACTTAGAAGTAGCAGACAAGGCATAAGGCTGGTAGCAAAAAGTAAAAAAATCATGCTGACAGCCCTGATATTCAGTATATGTGGGAAATGAACTATGCAACTTGTGGGCAGGGACAGGAGGAGGAAACGGGGAAAAGCCAAGGAAGGGGTGACATTGTCCAAAAAGAACTGTACTCATTACCTGACTTATGAAATAGTAACCCCTCTGTAGAACACCTTAAAAACAATAAAATTATATTTAAAGAATCATGCTGACATTTGCAAGCTAGCACATATAAAGAACAGACAACTAATTCCTCATGTCCTGAGCACTTGATCAAGATTAGATGTAAATAACATTTATAACTTAGTGGGATTAGAAGAGAAAAATTATTCCATTATTCTGGATGGATTCATAGCATTTTCCCAGCTTCTACTTATAGGGGAGAATCAGAAGGAGAGGAAGGGATATGGGAGATATGAAAAGTCTATACTTGACCCGGGCGCCGGTGGCTCACGCCTGTAATCCTAGCTACTCAGGAGGCTGAGATCTGAGGATCGCAGTTCAAAGCCAGCCCGGGCACGAATCTATGAGACCCTTATCTCCAATAAACCAACAGAAAGCCAGAAGTGGCGCTGTGGCTCAAGCGGTAGAGCACTCGCCTTGAGCTGAAGAGCACAGGGACAGTGCCCAAGTCCAGAGTTCAAGCCCCACCACAGACCAAAAAAAAACAAAGTCTATACATGTATGTATATATACATATTCACATATGTAAATATATACACATACAAGTAAATATGTATGTAAAAAATACAATTTAGCATAAAGGAATGGGAGGGAATAAACGAGAGGAGAAAGGAAATAGATATCTTCCCCAGACTACCAAGAGAGCAGAGGCTGAACCCCTATGGATCTTCTTAGTTCCTCCAAACCAGTGAGGCTGTCTTTTAAAGTTTAGAGGTTGCACTTAAAAGAATGAATATATTGGGGCTGGGGGTTTTAGCTCAGCGGAAGAGCACTGGCCTGGCAAACGCAAGGCCTTGAGTTGGGTCCTCAGCTCTGGCAACAACAACAAAAAGAATGAATAAAGTTAGAGGTCTAGGCAAGGAAGGGAGAACACATTCAAATCAGCAAAGAATTCAAATAAATGACATCTACTGCAGGCACAAGCGCATAATTTCTTCCAGATAGTAGCAACTGAGAGACTTAAATGCTTAAAAAGATTGAGACGAGGGGCTGGGAAGGTGGCTCAGTGGTAGAGCGCTTGCCTTGCATGCCTGAGGCTCTGGGTTCAATTCCTCAGCACCACATAAGCAAAAAGAAAAAAGCAGGAAGTGGCGCTGTGGCTCAAGTGGTAGAGCGCTAGCCTTGAGCTGAAGAGCTGAGGGACAGCGCCCAGGCCCAGAGTTCAGGTCCCACAACCGGACCCAAAAAAGACAAAAAAAACCCACAAACAAACAAACAAACAAAAACCCAAAAAGATTGAGACGAGACCAGAAATAACTATATGTTAAAAGGGTCTGTGGCATAAATTTCTATTAATCTTCTAAGTTATGCTGGATTTTGTAACAGACCACAAAGCAACATTTAAGTACCCATGTTCTAAAACCAACATGGTGATATACACTTGTAATCTCATCCTCCTGCCTCAGCACCTGAGTGCTGAGATTACAACAAATACAATGCTCTGGACCTTCTCAGATTTTACAAAGATAGGCACTGCTAAGATGATTTACATGAAAGGTTTTCTGGCAGGCCTATGGCTGGCTAGTAGCTCAGGCAATTATGCCACTTAAGTACTTCCTTGAAATCTTGCACTCTATCACGAGCCACAGCGCCACTTACAGCTTTTACTGCTTATGTGGCACTAAAGGAATTGAACCCAGGGTCTCATGCATGCAAGGCAAGCACTCTACCACTGAGCCATCTTCCCAGGCCCCTCCTTGAAAGCTTAACATATCACATTCTTTCTTTTTCTTCTTCTCTTTCCCCTTCCCTTCATTTCCTTCATTTCTCTCTCCCTTTCTCATCCTCCCCCCCCCCTTTTTTTTTAATGTGACAGTATTAAGATTTGAATTCAGCTTTTTAACTTAAGGCTGTCACTCTACCACTTGAGCTACCCCACATCTTCCCTTCTGGCTATTTGTTGATCAACTGGAGATTAACAATCTATGGGATTTGTCTTCCCAGGGTGGCTAGAATCTTGATCCTCAGATCTCAGGAATTATAGGTTTGAGCCGCTGGTGTCCAGCTAGCAATATTTGTGTGTGTGTGTGTGTGTGTGTGTGTGTGTGTGTGTGTGTATGCGTGTGTGCATGTGAGCTTGAACTCAAGACCTGGTCACTATCCCTGAGCTATATTGTTGAAGGCTAGTACTCTACCACTTGAGCCTCAGCTCCACTTCCAGCTTTTTGGGGGTTAACTAGAGATAAGACTTTTCTGCCTGGGCTGGCTTTGAACCATGATCCTCGGATCCCAGCCTCCTGAGCGGCTAGGAATACAGGCATAAGCTACCAGTGTGTCTGGAAAGTTATTAATTTTTAAGATCTTATCAAAAAAAAAATTGGAAGGAGCCGGGCGCTGGTGGCTCACGCCTGTAATCCTAGCTACTCAGGAGGCTGAGATCTGAGGATCGCGGTTCAAAGCCAGCCCGGGCAGGAGAGACCATGAGACTCCTATCTCCAATAAACCACCAGAAAACTGGAAGTGGCGCTGTAGCTCAAGTGGTAGAGTGCTCGCCTTGAGCTGAAGAGCTGAGGGACAGCGCCCAGGCCCAGAGTTCAAGCCCCACGACTGACCAAAAAAAAAAAAAAAATTGGAAGGCTGGGAAGGTGGCTCACTGGTAGAGTGCTTACCTTGCATGTATGAGGCCCTGGATTCAATTCCTCAGCACCACATAAGCAAAAAAAAAGCCAAGTGGTAGAGCGCTAGCCTTGAGCTGAAGAGCTAAGGGACAGCACCCAGACCCAGACAGCACCCAGACCCAGAGTTCAGGTCCCATGACTCACCAAAAAAAAAAAAAAAAAGGAATGTTGGGCACTGGTGGCTTACACCTGTCATCCTAGCTACTTAGGAAGTTGAGATCTGAGGATCACGGTTCAAAGCCAGCCCAGGCAGGAAAGTCTATGAGACTCTTATCTCCAATAAACCACAAGAAAACTGGAAGTAGCACTATGGCTCAAATGGCAGAGCACTCACCTTGAGCTGAAAAGCTGAGGGACAGCACCCAGGCCCAGAGTTCAAGTCCCACAACCAACAAAAAATAAAAATAAAAAATAAATAAAAATAAAAAATTGGAGACTGGGTATTGAACCCAAGGCCTTATAATTGCTAGGAAGGCACCTTAACCATGCTCCAGCTTTATTGGTTTGATTATTTTTCTGGTAAGGTTGGCTTTTTAAAAATTATTATTTTTGCAGTTCAGGGCAGGCCTGAATTGCAATCCTTTTCTAAACCCAGCTACTTGGGAAATATGAATAGAAGGACTGCAAAGGTTGTTTGCTTATTTTTTAAAAATTGAGGTGGGGCTGGGCGCTGGTGGCTCACACCTGTAATCCTAGCTACTCAGGAGGCTGAGATCTAAGGATCTCCCGTCAAAGCCATCACCGGGCAGGAAAGGCCGTGAGACTCTTATCTCCAATTAGCCAAGTGGCGCTGTGGTTCAAGCAGTAGAGCGCATGCCTTGAGATAAATTGCTGAGGGACAGCGCCCAAGCCCAGACAGAGTTCAAGCCCCACAACAAACCAAAAAAAAAAAAAAAATTGAGGTGGGGTATAGCTATCTTTTTGTCTGGCTGGCTTTGAATCCTGATCCTTCTGATTTCTGCCTCCTAAATAGCTAGAATTATAGGTATGAGCCATCATGCCGC